TTGAAGAAAACCCTATTTTGGACACTGCTGCCAGGATAACGATTAAGGGAAAACCATGTTACTTATGATAATCAACCTTACTGAAAAGACTAAAGTGCAGCTTGTGTTGGAAAACCATTGTAATTGTTTTCTGTTTTGAAAGCAATGCAGTAGAGTGCTATTTGGTGCAATAAATGTATATGGATAGTAGGCAGTTAATTCAGGGTTATAAAGTAATTTGCTTAATTCATTTTCAAGTTATTTCAGGGTTATAAAATAATTTGCTTAATTAATTTTCAAGTGGCCATTAAATGAGATTACATAAACACACATTGAGATTTCATTGTAAAGTCCCATAGGTTTAGCTCTCTTAACTGTGTCACATAATTAGGAATCGATGATTATTATGCAGGTAAATGTCATTTAATATTGAAAATAAGTTTACAAAAGAAAAATTTTGTGTAACGCTTACATTAATGTTAAGATGAATAACAGTGCCTTATTATTCTCAAACTCAATAGGGTTATTCATATCATGTTAGTAATTGTACAGCTAGATTAAAAGTTTGAATAGCAGCTTTATTGGTATTTTTTGTTGTTTTATTTTACATTTTCTTTTAATTTTTTTTTCAAACACTAGCATCTTCAAGATGACACTTTCAACTGTCATCCACCAGAAGCGCTGTGTATTTTGTTTTTCCACATTAGCAGTTGTGTTGGTTTTTATGTCTTTAAACATTGTGTAATATTATTTTATGCACTGTCATCATTTTTCACATATAGGGATTTTCATTATGTGAATTTGAAGTCTCACATATGGTCCTGAAACTGAATCTTATTGACCATGTTATTCTGTTGTATATATTTTTGAAATTTTTATCTTTTACCTACTGGCATTTTCAGTGTGGGACTTATAACTCCCAAGGGTATGTAACAGTTCACTTTTATTGATACTACCTGTTGTGCAATATTTGCAACTTGACTTTACAGTTAAAGGGATAATAACTGTTCTTTTTTGGCAAATAATTTTTTTTCTAAAAAGTTTTTTTTGTTAAAATCTCTTAAGAAATTATTACAAAGTATAGCCACCTATGGAGGTCACATGGTCTGATGACAAGTTCAGATATCAGAATAATAGCTATGACTGCCCTTTTTGTGGTAAAACAAAATATATTATATTTCTGTGACTTGTTTACACTGTTTAAACTGAAGTTGGATGATTCATATCATGGTTATGCAGCTAGACTGAATTGAGCTTTAGTGGAATATTTTTGTAATTTTTTCTTTAATTTTTAATTTTTCAAACTGGCATTTTCAAGATGTGACTTATCACTCCCATCCACCAGGAGCCCTGTACTGTAACTTTGTAACACTTTCTGTATTTTTTTAACTTACAAGTATGATTATATATATATATATATATATATATATTTTTTTTTTTTTTTTTTGCTATATATTTGCAGTCATATATAATATTTTTATTTTAAATTATTAGACTGGAGGCCAAACACCAAGAAAAGATGGCGGAGCAGCCCCCACCACTACTGGGAAGACATCCAATGCTGCAAGCAGGTCGAAACCTAGGAAAAAATACAAGGTAATTATTGCCTCCAATTTCATCTGCATACCTCAGGTAAAGGCAGCAACAGCTTTCCCTGAAGTTGTCTTGTTAGACACTCAAATATTGGGTTCTTGGTCAGGGGCAGATTGAGGCCGTCCTCTGGGTCTTCTGACGGTTTTCTAATTTTTTCTATCAGAAGACCGTCAAAAATGGAAGATAGAATGGAAAATGAAAAATAATTTGGAAGACTGTCAGAAAATATCTTAGGATTCACTCCTGTTGGTAGTAGCTCTAAGTATAGCTTTTGTTTAAAGAATTTATTCCTGATATTCAGTCAGTTATCAATTTTAATTACTTTTTCAGTTGTGGAAGACTTCTAACCAGCACCTTAGTGAACAGCAGAGGAGAGAACAGGAAGAGGCAGAACACCAGGTAAACTGCATTCATTGGTTGTTAAGGTTTTGTTGATGTATGGTGGGAATAGGGGGTGGGGTGTGGGTGGATGGGGGTCACAGAACTGAGTTCCAAGAGGCCCTTTTGAAGCTGAAGAATATAAAATGTGTATGTGCATATGCACACACATATGTGTTTGAGTGTACTAGTATTAATCTATTAATAAAAAAAAAATCTTTTTGGACATTCTGTAATGATGCAGCTGTATGGTATTGCTTTTCACTGTCTTTGTTCTGTTGTTGGAATCAATGATGTTGTCAATTTACCATATTAAAGATGCATACAAAGTCAGTTTTTTGTCACAAAAACCAACCAAATGCCAGCATATAGTTTCAAGTAATATAACTAAGAGAATTACCAAAAGGCATTGTTTAATTATACCCGAAAATGATGTTTGAACAGATTTTTCTGCTGGCATTCTAAGCTGTATGTCAATGGGGCAGGAAAGTACGTCACGAAAGTAGGTTAAATTTACAGCCAAAAATTTAAAGAAAGGAGCAGTCTAAGGCTCTGTTCCCACAACTTTTAGATCGATCTATCACCGCGGGGAGTCTCACTAGATTACTGTCAGATAATCCCCCTTAAGTGTCCGTCCCCGCCTACTACAAGCTTTAAGGGGTGATTAACTTTCGTGTTCGCCCGGCTGACAGCTATTTAGCGTGAACCCCCAGGGAGTTAGGTTGATCCAATGTAGGTCGATCTAATCTATGAGAATGGGGTGTAAAGGTCTTTTATGGCTGATCGAGAGATCTATTCAGTTTATCCCTTGGCATGTCAAATTTATTTGAGTCATATAAGAATCTAGTAGAAGTGGTTTACATGTGTTACTTGGAATCCACGCTCCAGCGATGCTCGGTTCGTATGTACCTTTAAATTTGTTTCTCGTGCAGGCCATACAGAGGCTCAGCTTATTCTTCCCGGACATGCTGCGCAGCGTGACACGTCGCCGTAGATTCAGGAAGGTCTGCACGGAAGAGATGCCTTGGAGATGTCAGGTGAGTTAATGCCAGGTGTCAGTTGTTGGGTAACATGATGTCAGATGTCAAGATGCCAGGTGTTAGTTACTGGGTAACACTATGTCAGATGTCAAGATGCCATGTGTCAGATGTCAATAACATGATGTTGGATATCAAGATGCCAGGTGTCAGTTGTCAATAACATGCTCTCAGATGCCAGGTGACATTATTTAATTGGTCAAATTACAAGTTGTTGGGTGCAGTGGCATAAGTACTGAAAATGTCACAGCTCAGTTCACTTTTCAATATCATTTGTCTGTCAGATAGTTCACTTTTCAATATCATTTGTCTGTCAGATTTGTCTGTCTGTCAGATGAATAAAGATATATATATATATATATATATATATTTTTTTTTTTTGCTGACTAATATAAAAATGCACATTTGCCTTATAACAACAAATTTACTTGTCCATTATTTTTCATATGGGGCCATATCTGGTTAACATTGCAAAATATTCATGTTTCAGCTGAATATTCTCCAAGGGCTCAGTCATTTTGGGGTCTTCTTACACAAAGTGGAAACCAGAGAGGCAGTAATGGGCAATTACACTGATAACTTGTACAGGTGAGAAAAAAACTGTAAAATGTGAAATAAAGTCTTTTTTTTTTGTTGTTGTTGTTGTTGTTGGACATATTAACTGAAACTTGTATTAACATCACCTACCTCAAATATTTGCAAAACGAAAGAATATTTTTCATTCCTGGCACATCACAAATATTTGCAAAACCAAACAAGTTTTTTTTTTATCCCAAAGTGTCAGAATTATTTACAGACAACTATTTTTTAAACCACAGCAACTTTTGTGAAAAAATAAATAAATAAACAGATGTGGGGTATTCTGCATACATACACACCATACCTTAATGTTAGCAAATTGCATCATGTCTGGTTCAGATAATTTTTTCTCAAAGTTTACCCTTTGGTATAAGTCACATACAGCACTCAATAGTAAAGTATTTGCCCTATCCAACAGTGACTCACCCTCCCCAAATTATAATGGTATATCATATATACCTTATTGACCTGTGGCACAAGTACATGTATCTATTATATTTATATAATCATCATGGTATAACATTGGAATTCCCCAGTACCTCTTACCTGGACTTAGAGTGGTTCACACTAGACAGTGCCGGAACGGTTGTAGTGGGCTGGGATGGTGGCCCACCCAGAAAGGAGGACCAGTACTTCGGTCCCACCAGTGCCAGTAGGGGCGCACCGACGCGAACCACAACCCAGGAGTCTGTGGCAGTCGGGCAGTATGGACGGGACTATAACAACCCTACAAGATCCAGTGGAATTGAACTTGCTGCAGCAGCTGCAACTGGTAAAATGAATTTTAAAAAATTTGAAGAGATTTTCTTGCTTATCTTGTTTCATAATTATTCTGTATATCCAGAGGATATTAGTTTTGTAGAATTTCTCATTCCTAAAATATCAGTTGCTACTCATAAAATGATATGTACTGCCTCAATTAATTGTCAACAAACTACTCCTGTAGAACGTTCAGATCTTTTTTACTGAGGATACCAGAGTTTTGACCTTATTTGACCTCTTATTCAGGCCAGCCCCCTGCCCCAATGTTCCCTATTCCCATTGAGGAAGAGGACACCCCCAGAACCTACAGGTCTGATATAGACGACATGGGTATGCCAAGGATAGACAATGAGGCAGGTCTGCTCTCCCCTAAGGAGGCCATGGAAAGCCTGGACAGAACTTTTGACTACTTTAAAAAGGCAGTAGTAAGTCTACTTTCTCCATATTTTTTTGTCTGTTTTTCTTAATCATCATGTTTATCACCACTGCGGTTATTGTCAATGTTGAAGTGATACTCATCAAGAACAACACTTTTCTCATAGCTGTTGATCTTTACAATTAATAACAATATCATCATTATTATTATCATGAGCCTAAGATAATCACCATAATCAGCATTTTAGAAACAAAATCTGCATTCATTAATACATATACAACTCCTCCCCAGGGAGGCGAGATCGCTCACATAGATTGTAATGACCAGGTGTCTATTTGTTATATGTATGTAATGCACATAATTGTGAAGTCCACTGAACATATCTATTTGGAANTATAAAAATGCACATTTGCCTTATAACAACAAATTTACTTGTCCATTATTTTTCATATGGGGCCATATCTGGTTAACATTGCAAAATATTCATGTTTCAGCTGAATATTCTCCAAGGGCTCAGTCATTTTGGGGTCTTCTTACACAAAGTGGAAACCAGAGAGGCAGTAATGGGCAATTACACTGATAACTTGTACAGGTGAGAAAAAAACTGTAAAATGTGAAATAAAGTCTTTTTTTTTTGTTGTTGTTGTTGTTGTTGGACATATTAACTGAAACTTGTATTAACATCACCTACCTCAAATATTTGCAAAACGAAAGAATATTTTTCATTCCTGGCACATCACAAATATTTGCAAAACCAAACAAGTTTTTTTTTTATCCCAAAGTGTCAGAATTATTTACAGACAACTATTTTTTAAACCACAGCAACTTTTGTGAAAAAATAAATAAATAAACAGATGTGGGGTATTCTGCATACATACACACCATACCTTAATGTTAGCAAATTGCATCATGTCTGGTTCAGATAATTTTTTCTCAAAGTTTACCCTTTGGTATAAGTCACATACAGCACTCAATAGTAAAGTATTTGCCCTATCCAACAGTGACTCACCCTCCCCAAATTATAATGGTATATCATATATACCTTATTGACCTGTGGCACAAGTACATGTATCTATTATATTTATATAATCATCATGGTATAACATTGGAATTCCCCAGTACCTCTTACCTGGACTTAGAGTGGTTCACACTAGACAGTGCCGGAACGGTTGTAGTGGGCTGGGATGGTGGCCCACCCAGAAAGGAGGACCAGTACTTCGGTCCCACCAGTGCCAGTAGGGGCGCACCGACGCGAACCACAACCCAGGAGTCTGTGGCAGTCGGGCAGTATGGACGGGACTATAACAACCCTACAAGATCCAGTGGAATTGAACTTGCTGCAGCAGCTGCAACTGGTAAAATGAATTTTAAAAAATTTGAAGAGATTTTCTTGCTTATCTTGTTTCATAATTATTCTGTATATCCAGAGGATATTAGTTTTGTAGAATTTCTCATTCCTAAAATATCAGTTGCTACTCATAAAATGATATGTACTGCCTCAATTAATTGTCAACAAACTACTCCTGTAGAACGTTCAGATCTTTTTTACTGAGGATACCAGAGTTTTGACCTTATTTGACCTCTTATTCAGGCCAGCCCCCTGCCCCAATGTTCCCTATTCCCATTGAGGAAGAGGACACCCCCAGAACCTACAGGTCTGATATAGACGACATGGGTATGCCAAGGATAGACAATGAGGCAGGTCTGCTCTCCCCTAAGGAGGCCATGGAAAGCCTGGACAGAACTTTTGACTACTTTAAAAAGGCAGTAGTAAGTCTACTTTCTCCATATTTTTTTGTCTGTTTTTCTTAATCATCATGTTTATCACCACTGCGGTTATTGTCAATGTTGAAGTGATACTCATCAAGAACAACACTTTTCTCATAGCTGTTGATCTTTACAATTAATAACAATATCATTATTATTATTATCATGAGCCTAAGATAATCACCATAATCAGCATTTTAGAAACAAAATCTGCATTCATTAATACATATACAACTCCTCCCCAGGGAGGCGAGATCGCTTACATAGATTGTAATGACCAGGTGTCTATTTGTTATATGTATGTAATGCACATAATTGTGAAGTCCACTGAACATATCTATTTGGAATTTAGACTTAAAATAATTATGTTATTATGTATTATTATCAGTGTTTGCCTCTTAGGAAAATTAGTTGCTGGACCGAAAGTTCAGCCATCTTGAGAAGTAGCTGGCTCGAATGTCTGCCGAGTGGGAAAACTTCTCAGCCCATTCTGAAAGTTGTCAGCCCCGGGCAGACGGTCCAGCCTTAATTTCTAACACTGATTATTATGTATTCCTTAAATGACATTGCAAACAGCCAGCTATATCTTTGTACATGCACTAGTAGCAGATTTGCAAACTGGTTAAAAATATTGAAATAATAAGCACATCTTTTCTTAAAGGTTTTGTCCCATAGAGGTCAGCACTGGACCTTACTCCAGAACTCTTGTCGTGCTTTATGGAACTGCGCACACACTGCACTGATGCGCACACTATCTACCCGACAGCACGGAAGCAATGCAGGATCCCTGATTGGTATTGAACAGTTGCGGTCACTCTTGTGGCATCCTTTCTTCACTGCCACCGACTGCTTACTGGACATGCTGGAACAGATGCAGCTGGACAGGGAGAAACAGGCAGCCAAGGTAATATATTATATGTTTTAATGGACCTATGTTCTTCTCTCTCTCTCTCTCTTTATTCCTTAATGCACATTCCTTTTGCCCTTTTTTCTTCTCCCTTCCTTCTAATATTTCTTCACTGTCAGCAGGAGTTACTTTATTAAGACAAATTAGCAAAAAACAGGTGGCTACACTGCTATTTGAAGCAAAGGTACATTTGGAAATCTTTTTTCCCTAGGACATATCTTGTTTGATATTAGAAAAACTGGTTGTTCTTTCATATTTGCCAGTACACATCAATTTGGCTTTAATCAATTAACTTCAGCAAGTAAAATTTTCTTAAATATTGTCCCTGCTTCTCCCCCTAGGCCAAAAGCAAGGGCAAAGCACCAGATGAGGAGCCCACGTTTTTTGGCTTTCAACCAGAGGAAAAAGGTGGTGCCCATCTTAAGTTTGAATCCCCCTTGGATAACCTGAGTACAGTGGACGCTCGCTGGGTCAGGCGCATTGTGGAGAGGACCATAGAGATACTGTACCATGAGGGAAAGTGGGAGAGACTGGTAGATGTTGCCCTGAGGTTCAATGCATTGACAAAGTGAGTTCAGATTAGTTTTGTCATTGTTTGTGAATGCACAGAGTGAGTCCTCAACCTTTATGTAATTTTTTTTTTCCTTGAATGGAAAATTCAACTCCAAGTTCAAAAGCACATCTTGCTTAGCATTTCGCCAGTTTGTAAGTTAAAAAATGACAGATGATTGGGTACAGAAAGTTTTATATGCAGTACCTTAATCTTTTCTAAAAATGTGAAAAATTAGAAAAGAAAGAAGAAAAACATTTACTAAACTTGCCCTATACTTGGAAAAAATCAGAAAAAATTATTAAATTTCGCTAAAAGTGGCCTTTCATAAAAAAAGTGAATCACCACCCTATGTTTTCTATCTTATACAGTGACAGATATGCGGAGCAGGTCATCCCTCTCCTAGTGCAGGCACAACGACAGCTCCGTGACAGACTGGAGGAGATCAATGCACCATCCTACCCACAGGCGCACTTCCGTAAGATTCTGAAGGAGCTCGGGGGCACAATGACGGCCAAGGACTATGCTCAGATGCAGATCAGGGTAGAAGTCCAGAAAGACCAGTTGCCCGCCATCCACCCTGGGGCTCATATTGACCCTGAGGGTCACCAAGTGTATCAAGGTAGGGAAGTTTACTGTTACACAGCATATGAATATGCATGCATGCTCCCATGCGTATACCTGGTACATTTTCTAGTACTCATGTGCGAATACCATTGCATGTGCATATGCATCTCCTCTATCCCTAGTAGTGTTTTATGAGGGGTTCATCAGTGACCCAATTGACAAACAGAACCATTTATATTCAGGTATGAAACTAAATTCAGTATTAAAAAAATGATCAAAAATAGTACATTGCATGATAGCTCTCAGCCCCCCTTTTCCTCTTCCAGGTCTTTTTTTCTTCATAGTATCTCATCTTATCTGCTTTTTACTTGGCTCATATTTATATTCATGGATGTGTTTGGGGATGCACGATTGCACTACAAGCAGTTAGCATTACCTTCAAAGTGTTCTATAAAGAGATCATTTTTCTTTGAAAATTGTAGTGTCTTGTCCCAAGAGATGGAAAAAATTATTATGAGCAATTTTACAAGACTACCAACATAGGTGCAAGTTTAATAAATAACTTTATCCCAAACTTTTGCTGAAACTGATAGATCAGAATTCTACTTTATTATAAAATAAAATGAAATACTGCCCCTGTTTTATAACAAGGGAATAACATTCCAGGCCAGTGTATACTTTAAAATTTATCTAATCGGATTACTGTGTATTAATCTTGAACTACAGTAAGCCATAATTTTGGTTTAAAAGCTTAGAACAATGTTTGGCCAAGATTATTTTGTGGAATCAGGCTTGATGCCTGTAGATCTATATCTACTATTTATTTATTTGAATATTGATATTCCTGGAAGTATCTGATGATCTAAAGTTACAATAAGCTAAAATCTTTACAAGTAACATGGTATTACATTTTGCTATCTTAATGATGGATATAACGTAACAGTTTCAGGTAAACAGGCAGGTTTTGTAATTTCATTATGCTGATAGTTATATGGAAACTGTTCATCAATATGTGGGCGCTAGTTTATAAAGTTACTTAGTATTTATTTTGAATATCAATTTGAAAATTGGCCCATAATTGCATAATGCCAGGTTAAGTATAGCATATTCATTCCAAGTAATTAGAAAAAAATTTAAGATGTTTTTTTTTAGATATTTATTATTTATTTTTAGCCTGGTTCGATCTGTTTAGATCAAATAAGAACCATTCACAAAACAGTTCAACTTTGTCATTTGTTTTTGGCTTTGTTTATCATTTGTTCACAAACAAATGGAAATTTGAGTGAACATCGTGCATCATTCCATTCACAGTTCTCATTACACAGCAGATTAAGGCAATGTTCGAATAGGCTGCTTGGCTGTCCACTTTTCCATCTAGAGTATTGACTATTGAATGGAATGGACTGATCGGTGGACATCCACTTCCACTGGTCTTTGTAAATGGCCAGATTTTGATATCCACCTGTCCAGTAGTATACATTTGTGAGCACTGAAAAAAAGGAAAGATAAAAATAAGAAAATGTTTTGATTTGCCCAAGGTAAAAACTAAACTAAATTGCACACAGAAAATACACACAATGTTCCATAAATCAATTAGAATAAAACTCATGGCTTTCCTTATTTAATTTTCTTGACCCTAATTCTGACTGTTACAAATGGATTGAAAAATTATAGTTTCTTAGTGGATTGTTCAAAATATTAAATTTTTTTTAAATACATGTAAATAACTAAATCAATCAATAAATAATTGAATGGATGAATAAATGAAAAGATAAATGATTCAAAATAAATAAATAAAATCTGCTTAAAGCAATAATAACTCTTTGTTTCGGCCAAAAAATGAATTTTCCTGGAGTAAACAACAATTTTCCCATACTTACCAATGGTTAATGAATCCATTTTTACATTCAAAGTTAGTCCCTGGTTTTTTTCTAAAAAGTTTGGTTTTTTGTTAAAATCTCTTAAGAGATTTTAACAGAGTATAGCCATCAATGGTCTAAAGACAAGTTCAGATATCAGAATAAAAGCTATAACTGCTGTTTTTGTGGCAAAACAGAATAAATTATATTTCTATGAGTTATTCACAAGGTTTTTATTGTGAAATATAGATCTCATACGAAGAGTTATTATCCCTTTAAAAAGATTGGCTTTGATTTTTGAAAAGACTTCAAACCTGGCAAAGACTTGATTTGTTGATACAAGAAGCTGTCTTCACCATATGTTTCTATGGCAACCAAGTCTCCATCCATGTTTTGACAAATTTCTCTTGCCTCAGACCAAGTTTTAGGCAGTAAACCAATAAAATAGCAACTTGTCCCATACTGAAGCGGGTAATGTGGGTCACATGTACTGGAACCAGTTGAAACTGAAAAAAATGTAAAAGAAATATTATTATTCTCTAAAGTCAAATTTGGAAAAAAAGGTAGTGGAAGAAGGTATACTCTTATTGAGTTATACTTACAATTTTTATTTTATATATCATTCACATTGGTGGTTCCAAAGAATGAACCAAAAAATGGCATATTGATTAATTAAGTAAAACTTTTTTCTACCTAGTCTGACTGTCAGATTGGAAGACACAGTGAGTGTTTTCAGTTATGATAAGAAGAATTAAATTTCCCTGAAAATTTCAATATTTTCCTTTATCAACTTTATACACAGTAAACCACCCCAACAGATCAACGTTATGATCTATAAATTTTTTCTTCAGTTTGAAGTTTCTAAAAATTCACATCTTACATTTAGTTTGGTAATTTTAATTAAAATTACTCTTAAAAGAGTGAGATGTTTTCTCTATTCCATTAACCCCGTTTTACCATCAGATCAGGAAAAGAAGACAAAATGAATTCTTATTGAAAGGAGTAAAGTGCATGAGCTCAAACAAATTGATTTAAAAAGATACATTTTTACCCTCTGTCATAACTTGACCAATGGTTAGCAACAGCAACAACTCCTTACAATGCATTCTGAGAGTAATTAAGACTCAGCTTTCAAAGTGTGAACAGTCAAGATGCTCTCGCTGATCAATAATGAATACTGATTTACATTGTAAGTCTTGGCATTTTATAGATGTATGAAAATCAGCATGGGGTGCAAGTTTACGGAACTTGCATCAGTTTTAATGTCATTATGCTGAAGTAAGATATCCCATAAAAAAGTCGATTCATGCTACATTTCTTTGTGCCAAGATCTGCTTGGAACTGATAAGGTTATTTGATTAAGGAACTAGGAAATGTGTTTGTACAAATGCAAAACCCCAACCTCAATTTTTATGTAACACATACATCCTTGACATCACCATCTCTAAATAATACATAATTTCCTTGAACTGCCAAATCATATTCCCATTTTACATAAAATTCAATCAGTACCTTTTGTTTAAATTTTGCTCAAATCTACATGATGGGATTATTTTCACAAAATTTATCTTGTTTTTTTTTTTTTTTTTTTGCATTTTTTATATTTGCATGTATTTTGGTGACGTTCAACCCATAAATTCCATAACATTATTTGTTTTACTCCAAAATGAATAAAGCAGACTTCTTACAAAAAGTAGCATGATTGGATTATTTTTTTGAAAGTTATGGATTTTTTTCCCTGTATTTTGAATCTGTTTCTTTATACTTAATATTTGTTTAATGTCTGTTTATGTTTGTATACAAGACCGTACGTATCTATATATTCCGATCACTATGTGCCTGTCTTTGTTATCACTGCCTGACAAATCTCTTCTGTGCCCTTTTACTGCAAAGCCATATATTTGTTTTATTAAATAATTTATTCATGTTATATATATATATATATATATATATATATATATATATAATTTATTTAATAATTTAGTCATATTTATTTTGTCTTAAAGTTGAGATAGATTATCTCTTTCTCTCCTTATGAGTTTTAATATAATAAAAGAAATGATCAAAAATAGTACATTGAATAATAGCACTCTGCCCCCCTTTTCCATTCCAAGGTCTTTTATCTTCATCATGATTCATTTTATCCGCTTTTTTCAAAGTGTTTTATAAAGAGACCATTTTTCTTTGAAAGCTGCTGTGTGTCTTGTCCAATAGATAAAAAATTATTGTGACCCAATACTATGAGACTGCAGGTGCAAGTTTAATAAATAACTTTATCCCAAACTTTGGTCGAATCTGATAGATCAGAATTCTACTCTACTTTGACCCAAGATATTGCAGTTACTGTAGTAAAATAAAATGAAGTACTGCCCCAGGTTTGTAACAAGGAACTCTTGTTGCATAGCTAACATTCCAGGCCAATATATACTTTTATCTAATTGGATTACTATGTATTAATCTTGAACTGCAGTGAGCCAAAATTTTGCTTTAAAAGTTTATACCAATATTTGGCTAAGATTATTTTGTGGAATCAGCACCTGGTGGCTTGATGCCTGTAGATCTATATATATCTACGATTTATTTATTTGAAAAGGGTGATATTTCTGGAAGTATCTGATGATCCAAAGTTACAATAAGCTTAAATCTTTACAAGTAACACGGTGTTACATTTTGCTATCTTAATGATGGATATATGTAACAGTTTCAGGTAAACAGGCAGGTTTTGTAATTTCATTATGCTGATAGTTATATGGAAACCATTCATCAATATGTGGGCGCTGGTTTACAAAGTTACTTTGTATTTATTTTGAATATCAATTTGGAAATTGGCCCATAAACCCATAATGCCAGGTTAAGTATAGCATATTCATTCCAACTAATGAGAAAAAAATTCAGATGTTTTTTTTAGATATTTATTATTTATTTTAAGTCTGGTTCGATCTGTTTAGATCAAATAAGAACCATTCACAAAACAGTTCAACTTTGTCATTTGTTTTTGGCTTTGTTTATCATTTGTTCACAAACAAATGGAAATTTTTGTGAACATCGTACATCGTGCCATTCACAGTTCTCATGACACCACAGACAAAGGCAACGTTCGTCGGGGAGGCGGTTTGGCTGTCCACTTTCCCATCTAGAGTATTGACTATTGTATGGAATGGACTGACCAGTAGACATCCACTCCCATTGGTAATTGTTATCGGGGTCAGTTTGATATCCACCTGTCCAATAGCGTCCATTTGTGAGCACTGAAAAAAAGGAAAGATAAAAATAAGAAAATGTTTTAATTTGCATAAGGCAAAAACTAAACTCATCTATATTGCACACAGAAAATGCGCACACTGTTCCTTAAAGTAATTGGAATAAAGCTCATGGCTTTCCTTATTTTTTATTTTCTTGACCCTAGCTCTCACCGTTGCAAATGGATTGAAATATTATAGTTTCGTAGCTGATTGTTCAAAATTTTAAAAAGTTATAAATACATGTAAATAACTAAATCAATCAATAAATGATTGAATGGATGAATAAATGAAAAGATAAATGATTCAAAATAAATAAATAAAATCTGCTTAAAAAGATTGGCTTTGATTTTTGAAAAGACTTCATACCTGGCAAAGACTTGATTTGTTGATACAAGAAGCTGTCTTCGCCATATGTTTCTATGGCAACCAAGTCTCCATCCATGTTTTGACAAATTTCTCTTGCCTCAGACCAAGTTTTAGGCAGTAAACCAATAAAATAGCAACTTGTCCCATACTGAAGCGGGTAATGTGGGTCACATGTACTGGTACCAGTTGAAACTGAAAAAAAAAATGTAAAAGAAATATTATTATTCTCTAAAATTGAAATTTTAGGATAACAGGTAGTGGAAGAAGGTATATTCTAATTGAGTTATACTTACAATTTTTATTTTATTTGTCATTCACAGTTGTGGTTCCAAAGAATGAACCAAAAAATGGCATATTAATTAATAATTAAATAAAGCTTTTTTCTGCCTAGTCTGACTGTCAGATTGGAAGACACAGTGTGTGTTATCAGTTATGATGAGAAGAATTAAATTTCCCTGAAAATTTCAATATTTTCCTTTATCAACTTTATACACAGTAAACCACCCCAACAGATCAACATTATGATCTATAAACTGTTTTTTCAGTTTGAAGTTTTTGATATTTGAGCCTCTCCTGTAGTGGAGACCGATGAATTTGAATCTTATATCTGTATGCAAAAGTTAAAGTCACATGCCTTTAATTTATTAGATATCTAAAAATTCACATCTTACATGTAGTTTGGTAATTATNTATTTGTCTAATGTCTGTTTATGTTTGTATAAAGGACTGTATGTGTCTATATATTCCAGTCACTATGTGCTTGTCTTTGTTATCACTGGCTAACACATCTGTGTGCCCTATTACTGCAAAGCCATATAGTTGTTTTATTAAATAATATATATATATATATATATATATATATATATATATATATATATATATATATATATATATATATATATATATTATATCTAACTTAATATTCAATAATTTAGTCTAATGTATTTTGTCTTATAGTTTAGATAAATTATCTCTTTCTCTCACCTTATGAGTTTTAATGTATTAAGCTATGCCCCTCTCTGGTGTCTGTGAACAATTTGTTATGTTAATTAGTTTTAAGCAGTAAAATATTTTGCCTATTTTTTTTTTTATTTTTCCCCCCATTTTCCAAATTTTAGAGGCCTATTTCAAGTTGACACCCTGCTTAATTATATGCTCTCATCACACTTATGAGCAATATTTTATATACCATTTTCAGATGTGATACAAAATATTTGCAGATTTTAGAAAATCAAAGACATTCACGAAAGATCCCTACAAGACTACTCTGCCAATTCTGATTTTTTAAATTGACTAGATAATTAAAGTGAAAAAAATGTTAAATTTTGTAGACTGTATGAAAGTTAAGAGAGTTCTGTAAGCTTTCTAGAACAACTGTATATTCTAGCTTGTTCAAACTTACTGAAGGTATATATACAGTAATTTATTGATCTACCTGGAAAGGTAAATTGACAGTAAAGTTTCAATTAGATGTAATTGGCATAAATATAATTTTATAATGTAAATTTTCTTCCAGGTAAAAGAGACGGCCTCCGCCTGGTGTCCGTGCCCCTGGATATCAGTTACAGTCTTCAAGTTTTCCGTGATGCCTTGGACACCTCTGCCTATACCTCCAGGGCTCTACAACACAGCAGACGGCTGCTGGTGCTCTACCTGGCTGGACAGCAAAGTGGTAAGTTGTAAGGGGGTCAAGGTCATTTTATAGAGGTCAAGGTCATGGTTACTTTTCCTGGGTTTTATAACTCTTCTTAGCTGGACAGAAAATTGGAAAGTTTTAATGAGGCAAAGGCTCTAATTAGCTTACTTTTTTGAACAACCAAGTGTTTTCAGTTTAAATGGGGTCAAGAGCATTTATGTAGGTCAAGTTCATGGCTACTCTCCCAGGGCTCTACAACACAACAGAAAGCTTCATATACTTTACTTGGCTGGACAGAAAAATGTATAGACAAGTATGAATGGTGTCAAGGCGATTTGTGATATTCTGTTGATGGTCACTCTGCATGTTTATATCATTTAGTGAGTGGTCAGAGTGGCCTTGGGTCAGAGATGTCCAAGGTGGACTTCATCCCCAATACGGCCAAGCCCCAGCCCACAATGCCCCCTGACATCAGGAAGGAGGAGTATATTGACAGTGATGACGTGGAGACGGCACCTTTACCTAGGTCACAGCTTGGGGTTGTGATTGCTTCCTATGATAAAACCATTGGTGAGGTTCTGGACGGAATAAATTTTTGTATGATAATAATAATAATTATTATTTATAATAATAATGATAATAATGAAAACAACATAACAAAACAACAACAATAATAATAATAATAATGATGATAACAAAACAACAATTAAAATACCTTTTATTATTATTATTATTATTATTATCATAATTTTGTATTATTTGAATTATAATTGTATTGCAAATAATCAGGATTATGATCTTATTTCCTGTTATCAGTATTATTATTTAAGATCGTGCAATAATAAGAAAATAGAAATTGACAATATTGTCAGCTCACAAACACCAATCCATATGCTGGCGTATTCATTTACACATGCAGGCAAGCATGTGCATGCACACAAACAGTTATACAAAATGAAAATGCAACATACCAAAATAAAAGTATGGCAAAAATAGTTATGGACTTATCATTATAGAATATTTTTGTTTCCAGAAATGCTGTTGTCTAGGAACCAGAAGGGCCTTGCTGCTCAAGCCATGCATGAACTGGGCAATCTGCATTATCATGGAGGAAATATAAGGTAGTATGAGGAATCTCACACTGCATCCTAACCATCTTGCACAGGCCCGTAGCCAGGGGGGTTCGGGGGGTTCGAAAGAACCCCCCTTTTTGCAGGGAAAAGGTCCCCTCTGGGTGAAATTTAATTAAGGTACATGAAAGTTTCATGGTAAAAAGTCCACTTTTTCAGAAAAAGAACCCCCCTTTTGAAATTTCTGGCTACGGGCCTGTTGCATAATTTACAAAAGTGACCAGTAACCAATAACAAAATCCTTTTCTACATTTTGATTTTATTGAAGCTTATCACCATATTTGGTTTATTGTATTTGCTAACAAGCCCATATTATTGCTACCAAACACAAACCCTGTACAGCAGTGTAAATTCCATAAGTGCATGTTAATAGTGGTCAGATGCATTAGGTGTGATACTGGTGACATTGTGCCAGATGCACTGCACATGTACCTTTAAGCATATATTCCTGTAAGTGCATACTGGAAGGTTAGCAGTACATAATTCAAGCACAAATGACATTTCCAAAAACTTGTATTTTATCTAACAAACAAAACAGTTTCTTTTATACTCTTCCTTAATGTTTATCAGCATATTAATATCAATATTCCAGGGGTGCGTATAAATGGTGGGCAGATGCGTTAGATGTGATACTGAATGTGTCGGATGCGCTGCACACCTGGAAGCAGTTATTCACGGATGCGGAGACCATCAGCCAGGAGCTGCTGCAGAGATGTGGTCTGTGGGGGTGTGTCCTAGGCGGAGTTCTGGCCTCCAATATTGCACAGTAAGTGAGATACGCAGAGTCATTTATTGTGGTTATCTGTGTACCCTACCTCTTTCTGGGCGAATTCCTGGCCTCCAATATTGCACAGTAAGTGAGATACGCAGAGTCATTTATTGTGGTTATCTGTGTACCCTACCTCTTTCTGGGAGGAGTCCTGGCATCTAATATTGCACAGTAAGTGAGATACACCGAGTTGTTTATTGTGATTATATTTTTAACCTACCCATACCTGGAGATACATTGTGTTCAAAGGCATGTATAATGTTTTTAAGTATTACATTGCTCTTTCTCAGTTTGATATTCATAAAGGAAGGGTGGATTGTCTGGGGGGGGGGGGGGGATTATCTAGGACCGGGGTCCCGATACCATTTATTGTATCTTTGAAGGCATATAATGTGCATTTGACCTTTATATTCTAGAGATTTAAATTCTCAGTGATTTATCTGGAAATGCCTATATTTGGGTGTTTATGCCCCTATCTGACTGACCCCCAAAAAGAGCTGCATGCCTATGGGGCTCACATTTTCAGGGTTTTTTTTTTTTTTTTTTTTTTCAAAAATTTCAAAAGGTCATCCACCTTCATCTCTGATATCATAGAAAAAAAAAAACAAGCTATATTTTCTTGGAAGTTTCATATATGTTTCTAATTGGCCAGTCGAGTTCAACTTTTTTGGGACAGACATGTGTAATTTTTCCTTAGTATGTCATTGTTTTTTTTACCATTTCAGGTATATCTTGACCTCGGATCTCGGTCTTAAGATGCAGTCCTGTTTTCTCTCAGGATATTTTTTCAAGGTAAGTTGAATCTGGTAAATGGGGGATGATAAGTTGGGATAGATGTAAACAGGTCTGTTAGGAAAAAAACACCAAATGAATATAAATAATAAAAAAAAGAATTTGACATAATTCAAAGCTGTAATAAATCTGATACACAAGACTCACAACTGAATATAGATAATAAAAAAGCACTCAATATAATTCAGAGTAATAAATCTGAGACACTCAACTCACAACTGTAAAAGCTTGATATCATAATTGTAACAGTTTAAGAGCAACAGTTAAGCCAATATATAAATAGTCTTGAAAGTAAAATGCATATGAATAGGATAATAAGATTAATTATTTGTAAAAATTTTTTCTTTCATCTTTAAAAGGTATTTATTTATTGATTGATTGATTGTTTTGTAGGCCCTGTTCCGTACCTCCCTCCCCCATCCCACAGCCGACTGTGACTATGCTCTGTATGAGATAGGGGAAGGTTGTGAGGTCAGTCACCTCGTCCCGGGCATTGACCTCTTATCAGACAGGTAAGTCTTTTAAATATGGGATAATTAATGCATTTGCTACTGTTAGACTATCAATTGATACCAAGATACAGTCAATAATAATGGCAACATGACACCAACTGTCTTGGGTTCTGCACATTGATTGTGCGTTTATACTTATCTGTATTGAAACACCAAGGTAAATTGACAGCTTTTAATAGCCTAGTTTATAACATTGGATAGTCACCTAAATGGAGACTCGAAGATCAGCACAACCAGTTAACCAGATTGGTTTGAATTGGTCTGAACTGCCTGAAGCAAACTTGTTGAAGGAAGTTAATATCCCCCCCTCTCGCCTCGCACTGCAAAGGATTCAGCACTTTTGCTTTGCTTAGAGTTTTAAGTTTATTTATTTTCTGTCAACATTTATTTTAATTATTGGATTTCCATGTGTGTTATTGTCTAGGTTCCGCAGTGAAGGTCGTTCAGTAGTAGCTGCACTGAGATGGGTCACTGAAGAGCTGGCCAGAGGAAAACACAACTTGTTTGTAAGTAGAAAGAAAATTAATTAGCATAAGTACACATACCCACCCAGTAGCAAATAAATAGCATATTAGGGTATATGTTATAATGCTAGTTGATTGATAACTTAAAGTCTGAAATTTTTAGTTAATTTGTTGTATATTTATTCAAATTGTAAGTGTAATGCTACTGCCATGTTTTTGTATTTCTCTATTTACAGGTTGGATGTCATAATTCTTACTTTCACCAGAAATTCCTTACCGTTTCACTGTCTCTATTGCAGGTTCTCCCAATGCTTACTCTGTACCAGTATTTCACCACTTTCGTCTGCCGTGACCTGCAGCGTTCCGTCGACGGACGTGTACTGAAAGTGCGTGTCCTCACTGACCTCAGCCTGTATTCTGAGGCCCTGATATGCCTGCAGCGTCTGCTACACGGAGAACGTCTGCCGCATACTGCAGACAATAACTTCAGACAAGTCGAGTCAAAATCAGTCAATTTGAGGTTCAGTGCAGATAAACCCGTCCTAGATCCCAATAATCTGAAGGTTAGTTTTCTTTCTTTCTTACCTTCTCTATTGTTTTTTATATTATTTTATTATTTTTCTTTCATTTTTCTTCATTTTTCTACATTTTGGATGTCAAAAATCAAAATCAAGCAGTCTAGGTGTTCTGATATTTCGCAGCAATATTCATGAAGCACACAAGGTTTTATTTTATGAATCTATTATATATTTATGAAAAAAAAATATCGCAGCTAATTTGTTCATATATGTGTATATTCACACAGGTATTAGAGAGTGTGATAGACAAGAGACTGTCCTCCAACCTGGCAGCTCTGTACGGCCCTCACATGACCTGTCTGCTAACCTTGGCCCAGGCACATCTGCTGATCTCAGTGGCGGAGAAATTACCTGTCTTTCCTGTGCTTGATGATCTGGGGTGAATATGTTTAATGATTATTTCCTTAAATATATGAACGAGTAATAAGAATAATTTTCGAAAAATGCTTTTTGATTGATCTTTCTTTTTTTTTTTCTTCATTACAGATGGCAAAAATCAAATAATAACATCATTTTAATGCAAACAGAAATTTTAAGAAATAAAAATTAAAAAATAAAAAACAATGAGATAAGGACAGTGAAATAATAGTTATGACTCACAATAGTTATGAGGTTACTGTTAATAATTTGAAGTAAAATTTCAATGATTAAATGCAGCTTATACAAGTCTTATGATTCTACCTTAAATGTGTAAATTTTTCTGGACATTGTTTTAGTAACATTAATACATAATTATCATTTTCTCTTTGTTGTAAAAATGAAAATTAAAAAATTAAATTTTTTTGTCTACATGTTATGATCTCTTTTGGACTATGCATTTGGAATTTACTCCCAACTTTTTTAGATAAAAATTACAATTCTAAACAGTAATCAAGTGCCTGTGTCCAATGTATTAATTATCTGATGCTTCTTATAATTTGAAAGCAGACTTGAGAGTCGCCAGCGCACCTACACCTCATTACCCCGTAGTGCCCAGCGGTCAGGTCGTCCATCTGTGACATCCAGTTCTGCTACTAAGCCATCAGCTTTCAGAGGACCACCAGCGGGCAGCAGTATAGATGGTCAGTATGTGTGGGTACATGGGCATGGATTGTGTGGGTTCATGGGCATGGATTGTATGGGTGCATGGGCATGGATTTTGTGGGTTCATGGGCATAGATTGTGTGGGTGCATGGACATGGATTGTGTGGGTGCATGGGCATGGATTGTGTGTGTGCATGGGCATAGATTGTGTGGGTGCATGGGCATGGATTGTGTGGGTGCATGGGCATAGATTGCGTCGGTGCATGGGCATAGATTGTGTGGTTGCATGGGCATGGATTGTGTGGTTGCATGGGCATGGATTGTATGGGTGGATGGGTGTGGATTGTGTGGGTGCGTGGGCAAAGATTGTTTGGGTGCATGGGCAAAGATTTTTTTTATTCATAAAAAGACAAACAAAAATACATATTCAAACACACACACACACAAGCACACACACAAGACATTCACTATACATTAAGTAAACATGAAATATATGTAGATAACCCGACTACGCACAATACAATATAATACAAGTGATGCTGCACATTACACAATACAAACATTTTAAACAGAAGAAAGTAGCGAAGAATAACCATGACACTGTAAAGTAAATTTGTAAGTGGAACTAGTCAAAGATAGAATCCCAGGTTCCCCACTTGCATGGGCATAGATTATGTGGGTGCATGGGCATAGATTGTGTGGGTGCATGAGCATGGATTGGGTGGGCGCATGGGCATGGATTGGGTGGGCGCATGGGCATGGATTGGGTGGGCGCATGGGCATGGATTGGGTGGGCGCATGGGCATGAATCATGAAATCAAAATAGAGTTTGGCAGAAATAAAAGGAGTCACATCTGATTAAATGTCAATCAAGCCTTACCAGTATATTCAGTTTGTCATTAATAAAACCTATTTCATCTTTCAGTGGAGGAATCAGACTCAGAAACAGAGGGTGAGAAAGTCGTCCAGAAGCGTTTCTCCACCAGTAAGAAGCCAGTCACCCTGGAGATGGTCAAGGGGACACTCCTGGGAGTGTCTGAGTTTATGCTGACCACCCTGTCTGAGATATTGATAGAGCAGGCAGAAAATGATAAAGGTACAGATGAGTATAATTGATAAAAGTTGTGAATGGAAGAAGCTCATTTTGTTTTTTCATACCTACCAAGTTCTTTTTTGTCTGAGGATTTGTAGTATTTTTCAATCCCCTTGTTGTATAATATTAGTCTGCCAGCTTTTTCTCAAATAAAAAAGGGTGAGTAGTTAATTTCCTGAACTCCACATTTATTCTGACAAAATTAATTAGTCTAAGCTGTGTAGTTTAGGATAAATAAATAAATAAATAAATAAATAAATAAATAAATAAATAAATAAATAAATAAATAAATAAATAAATTAGTAAAGAAGGGATGCAATGGAGAAGAAAAGTTAGAATTTTATATTTTTATCATAAACATCTAGGTATTATTGGAAAATTTTAATAACCTTGATTTTGGGGATATTTCACTTTACTTTTTCAACTTTAATTAACAGTTGCTTATTCCTTCCAAATATTAAAATAATCATGATAATTTTAACATTTATAACTGAATCTTATTTGCAGGTGTGGAGACACTGGCAGCAGCAGAACTCGAGCTTGTGGTGCACTGCAAACTGGAGCTCTCAGAGGTTGCTAAGCAACGGCACCATGGCTCAATGGCAGCTCGCACTGTATTGACAGCGATGAAGTTGCTGCAGGGTGCAGAGCTCTTTACATTCAAGGCAGCTGAGCAGATAGCAAAAAGGTTAATATATATTGGGAAAAATTTTGAAGTTGCAAAATTAATGCAAATAAAAAATACATCAAGGGGAATTACAGTGTTTGTGCCATTAGTGTTATTTTTATGAATTACTATAATTAAAATATCAATGTGACTGTCTTTCTTGTATTAACAATTGTAATTTTGTATATATGTCAAAGTTCTGACATTAACATATTTATTGAAAGGCTTTAGATCTGTACATGTTGTTTCATTTTTTTAAAGTTTGAAGTTTCATTGCATGATCATTTTATTTTATTTGTTCCTTCTGATCTATAATTCTTAATTGTTCCAAATGAAAAAAATTGTCTGTGTTTCTTTTCAATGTTTAACAGTCATGCCTGTATTTTCAAAAGTGTTGCAATCTTCATGTAAATTGAAGTTCATTCACAATTTCATCACGCATTCAACTAACCTTTTAATGTAAAAACGCATTACAGGGAATCTATCTTGAAAACCAGTAGATTCAAGGAGTAAGTGGGTGTATGGTTTGGCCAATGTATTGCAATCGATTGCTGTGTTGTGAAATGTTTGCAAATGCATCGTGTCTGGCATTGTGTTTCCAAATACTGACAGAGGGGGGGGGGGGTAATTGGATCTCAGAGGTATCCTGACTCAAATTGAATGACATGCATTTGTTTTATTTTTGTTTTTAGGGGGCAACCTGTGTTGTGCTAAAAACAAAGGTCTATAATGATTTTGTCCATCTTACATGTATGTGACCATAAGCATGTGGGTACCCATGCAAATATAGATCCTTACGTTGGGTGACTCATGTTTTGCCAGAAACAAAATTTTAGACATAATCATTAAAATGAACAAATTAGAACCAACATTCACTGTTTTAATATTTATATATATATATATTCTACATGTCAGGATGCCTCCATGGTACACCCTCTAATTTGAATTAATAGGGTGAATTTACACAATAGGATTAGGTCTTTAACACATACCTACATATACATGTGCCCAGTACATGTACTTATCTCACACAAAAGTGTTTTATTAAAGAATGATAAAGTGTTTTCCAAGTTTTCTAGATTGCACAATCAATAAAGTATTTGCAATTTTCAGACTCTCAGTGATTTAGAATAGAAGAAACACATGCACATTTATATGTCAACTTGTTTAAAAAAAAAAAACAAATTGAATGCACTTTTTATACTTAGAGCAAACATGCATCATATTGTTCAGCACATGTATCGCATATTGAAAAATTACTGTTTTAAAAGGCTTGTTTTATGCACAGAACAAATCAGGTTCATTTATCACACATTTTCACTAAACAGACGTCCCTTTTGGCAATTAAATTAGCTTTTGAAGTGTTGCTTTGATTTCTGTCATTATAAGCAATAGGGATTTATAGTAAAAATGCTGCATTTCATCATATTTAGTGAATTCCATTGGAAATTAATGAAATATAAATGCCCAAAAAGGAAAAAAACCTCTTGCTTTTCATTTTATGTCTAATGTTTCATCAACAGGAAAAGTCATGAATTTTTTGAAAATTAAATTACAGACCTTCCTCCATGAGGAGCAGTCGTCACGCAACTGGAACTGCCAATATCCAGTTGACCCAGATAGAGAACAGTCAATTCCAGTTCCAGAACTTTCAGAGTCGCTCTCGTCTTGATGCTCGCTTGTGGTTGAACTGTCGCCTGGCTCTGGTGAAGAGTCTGATGTGTGAGGTCCGAGGCATGGGAGACGTGAAAGGTATCAGAACAATGTGGTACATTAAAAAAATGGAGGCATTTGCATTATACATGTACTGGGTACATGTGCAATGTCTCCACACATTATGCATTGTCTCCGTGCCAAATGCCAGTAAAATTGAAGCCAGCTAGGCCACTAAGTTTGTAGAAATTTGTTCATTTACTACATGGACACTGTTTTTTCCTTGAGACAAAAATTAAGATGATTAGACCCTGTCTAAGGAGAATATTATTATAAATGCCAAGTTTAAGCTTTGTAAGAATTAGACAACAGTTAATNAGCAGGCAGAAAATGACAAAGGTACAGATGAGTATAATTGATAAAAGCTGTGAATGGAAGAGGCTCATTTTGTTTTTTCATACCTACCAAGTTCTTTTTTGTCTGAGGATTTATAGTATTTTTCAATCCCCTTGTTGTATAATTGTAGTCTGCCAGCTTTTTCTCAAATAAAAAAGGGGTGAGTAGTTAATTTCCTGAACTCTACATCCATTCTAACAAAATTAATCAGTCTAAGCTGTGTAGTTTAATAGAAATAAATAAATAAACAGATAAATAAATAAGTAAAAAAAGGGACGCAATGGAGAAGAAAAGTAAGCATTTTATATTTTTTATCAAAAACATATAGTTATTGTTGGAAAATTTTAATAACCTTTATTTTGGGGATATTTCACTTTACTTTTTCAACAAATTTAATTGACAGTTGCTTATTCCTTCCAAAAGTTAAAACAATCATGATAACTGTAAATTTTATAACTGAATCTTATTTGCAGGTGTAGAGACACTGGCAGCAGCAGAACTCGAGCTTGTGGTGCACTGCAAACTGGAGCTCTCAGAGGTTGCTAAGCAACGGCACCATGGCTCAATGGCAGCTCGTACTGTATTGACAGCAATGAAGTTGCTGCAGGGTGCAGAGCTCTTTACATTCAAAGCAGCTGAGCAGATAGCAAAAAGGTTAATATATATTGGGAAAAATTTTGAAGTTGCAAAATTAATGCAAAATAAAAAATACATCAAGGGGAATTACAGTGATTGTGCCATTAGTGTTATTTTTATGAATTACTATAATTAAAATATCAATGTGACTGTCTTTCTTGTATTAACAATTGTAATTTTGTATATATGTCAAAGATCTGATATTAACATATTTATTGAAAGGCTTTAGATCTGTACATGTTGTTTCATTTTTTTAAAGTTTGAAGTTTCATTGCATGATCATTTTATTGTATTTGTTCCTTCTGATCTATAATTCCTAATTGTTCTAAATGAAAAAAATTGTCTGTGTTTCTTTTCAATGTTTAACAGTCATGCCTGTATTTTCAAAAGTGTTGCAATCTTCATGTAAATTGAAGTTCATTCACAATTTCATCACGCATTCAACTAACCTTTTGATGTAAAAACGCATTACAGGGAATCTATCTTGAAAACCAGTAGATTCAAGGAGTAAGTGGGTGTATGGTTTGGCAAATGTATTGCAATCGATTGCTGTGTTGTGAAATGTTTGCAAGTGCATCGTGTCTGGCATTGTGTTTCCAAATACTGACAGAGGGGGGGGGGGGGGGGTATTGGATCTCAGAGGTATCCTGACTCAAATTGAATGACATGCATTTGTTTTATTTTTGTTTTTAGGGGGCAACCTGTGTTGTGCTAAAAACAAAGGTCTATAATGATTTTGTCCATCTTACATGTATGTGACCATAAGCATGTGGGTACCCATGCAAATATAGATCCTTACGTTGGGTGACTCATGTTTTGCCAGAAACAAAATTTTAGACATAATCATTAAAATGAACAAATTAGAACCAACATTCACTGTTTTAATATTTATATATATTCTACATGTCAGGATGCCTCCAAGGTACACCCTCTAATTTGAATTAATAAGGTGAATTTACACAATAGGATTAGGTCTTTAACACATACCTACATATACATGTGCCCAGTACATGTACTTGTCTCACACAAAAGTGTGTAATTAAAGAATGATATATATATAATAGTGTTTTCCAAGTTTTCTAGATTGCACAATCAATCCATTATTTGCAATTTTCAGATTCTCTGTGATTTAGAATAGAAGAAACACATGCACATTTAAATGTCAACTTGTTTAAAAAAAAAAACAAATTGAATGCACTTTTTATACTTAGAGCAAACATGCATCATATTGTTCAGCACATGTATCGCATATTGAAAAATTACTGTTTTAAAAGGCTTGTTTTATGCACAGAACAAATCAGGTTCATTTATCACACATTTTCACTTAACAGACATCCCTTTTGGCAACTAAATTAGCTTTTGAAGTGTTGCTTTGATTTCTGTCATTATAAGCAATAAGGATTTATAGTAAAAATGCTGCATTTCATCAAATTTAGTGAATTCTATCAGAAATTAATGAAATATAAATGCCCCAAAAGAAAAAAAACTAACCTATTGCTTTTCACTTAATGTCTAATGTTTCATCAACAGGAAAAGTCATGAATTTTTGAAAATTAAATTACAGGCCTTCCTCCATGAGGAGCAGTCGTCATGCAACTGGAACTGCCAATATCCAGTTGACCCAGATAGAGAACAGTCAATTCCAGTTCCAGAACTTTCAGAGTCGCTCTCGTCTAGATGCTCGCCTGTGGTTGAACTGTCGCCTGGCTCTGGTGAAGAGTCTGATGTGTGAGGTCCGAGGCATGGGAGACGTGAAAGGTATCAGAACAATGTGGTACATTAAAAAAATGGAGGCATTTGCATTATACATGTACTGGGTACATGTGCAATGTCTCCACACATTATGCATTGTCTCCGTGCCAAATGCCAGTAAAATTGAAGCCAGCTAGGCCACTAAGTTTGTAGAAATTTGTTCATTTACTACATGGACACTGTTTTTTCCTTGAGACAAAAATTAAGATGATTAGACCCTGTCTAAGGAGAATATTATTATAAATGCCAAGTTTAAGCTTTGTAAGAATTAGACAACAGTTATTAAAGAAATGTTACCTAATTTTGAATAAATGTACTGTCATATAATTTCTATATGAATATGGTGTGATGTGATTTTTATGAAATCCCTGTGTTTGTTATATAAAGGACCATACCGCAGTGTCCATGTGGAGCTGGGAGACTGCAGGCAGTACTGTGTGGAGGGATATGCTGAGGCCGAGGCCTGCGGAGATGTGGAGATGCAGGCCGAATTTCTCATGCAGGGAGTCCTGTTGAACATCATGGAAGGGAAGAGTTCTGATGATAATATTGATATGCTAAAGGTAACTTTTAATGTTTATTATCTTTAACAATGTTTAATGTGGCCCCAAAATGTGTTTTTGATGGTCACTGTGGAAAAAGTTTTGGAGTGGAGGAGGTGCCGTGTGGAGGTGGAAAAAATGAAAGCAGCTCCATTTTGAACAAACTGTTCAAGTGTTAATCATGCTTCTATCACAAAAAATGAATAATTGTTTATTATTAATAATATGATAGCAGTTGCACTAGTACTTGAACTGTACATGTATAGTCTTTGATTGTTTAAAATTGGATTGTCTTTTTTGTTCTGGATTTGCTTTAGGATACACATGTTATGTACTTTTATAAGCAATCCATTATCTTTGTAGTTTGTGACATCATAGATGGATTTTAAGACCCTGGTGGCCAGTAAAAAAAACTTGCCACAGATTGATAATATATAAATGATGCACTAATAAAGGAATATTGAATCTTTTCAGGACATACTTGCCCTTCTGTCCAGCATAGTGTTGTCCTCCAGTGGTCAGTTACTCCAGACCACGGCAATGGTGATGCTGACTGATATAACCACTGCGGCCACTCCTTTAGGCAAGGACAGAGTGGACATCACTGAGAAGACTGTTAAGGAGTACCTGGCTGCCCAGAAACTTCTCCTGGCACAGGTAACAGACATTGCTCACCCCAGGGATTTTAATTTAAAAAAATCTCAGTCTTGTGATTCAAAATCTAAACATGCTTATGGCAATGCTATGATATAGAGGATTAGATCAGAACTCGTTATAATGGTGATTTTTAAACACATATTGTAGTAAATATTCCAACATTAGAACATTCTGTTTTTCACCTAAAATATTTTTTGTTGTCATTATTATTATTAGAATTATGATGATGATAGTCCTTCTTCTTCCTCTTATGATTATTGTGATGATGATAATGATGAAAGTTTGTTATTATTATTATTATTATTATTATTATTATTATTATTATTATTATTATTATTATATGGCTCCTTTTCAGATCCAAGCACTGGGAGAGAAGATAGAGCACTACTACCCAGCAGGAGGAGCCGCGTGGCACAGTGCGCCTCTNTGTGGTTGAACTGTCGCCTGGCTCTGGTGAAGAGTCTGATGTGTGAGGTCCGAGGCATGGGAGACGTGAAAGGTATCAGAACAATGTGGTACATTAAAAAAATGGAGGCATTTGCATTATACATGTACTGGGTACATGTGCAATGTCTCCACACATTATGCATTGTCTCCGTGCCAAATGCCAGTAAAATTGAAGCCAGCTAGGCCACTAAGTTTGTAGAAATTTGTTCATTTACTACATGGACACTGTTTTTTCCTTGAGACAAAAATTAAGATGATTAGACCCTGTCTAAGGAGAATATTATTATAAATGCCAAGTTTAAGCTTTGTAAGAATTAGACAACAGTTATTAAAGAAATGTTACCTAATTTTGAATAAATGTACTGTCATATAATTTCTATATGAATATGGTGTGATGTGATTTTTATGAAATCCCTGTGTTTGTTATATAAAGGACCATACCGCAGTGTCCATGTGGAGCTGGGAGACTGCAGGCAGTACTGTGTGGAGGGATATGCTGAGGCCGAGGCCTGCGGAGATGTGGAGATGCAGGCCGAATTTCTCATGCAGGGAGTCCTGTTGAACATCATGGAAGGGAAGAGTTCTGATGATAATATTGATATGCTAAAGGTAACTTTTAATGTTTATTATCTTTAACAATGTTTAATGTGGCCCCAAAATGTGTTTTTGATGGTCACTGTGGAAAAAGTTTTGGAGTGGAGGAGGTGCCGTGTGGAGGTGGAAAAAATGAAAGCAGCTCCATTTTGAACAAACTGTTCAAGTGTTAATCATGCTTCTATCACAAAAAATGAATAATTGTTTATTATTAATAATATGATAGCAGTTGCACTAGTACTTGAACTGTACATGTATAGTCTTTGATTGTTTAAAATTGGATTGTCTTTTTTGTTCTGGATTTGCTTTAGGATACACATGTTATGTACTTTTATAAGCAATCCATTATCTTTGTAGTTTGTGACATCATAGATGGATTTTAAGACCCTGGTGGCCAGTAAAAAAAACTTGCCACAGATTGATAATATATAAATGATGCACTAATAAAGGAATATTGAATCTTTTCAGGACATACTTGCCCTTCTGTCCAGCATAGTGTTGTCCACCAGTGGTCAGTTACTCCAGACCACGGCAATGGTGATGCTGACTGATATAACCACTGCGGCCACTCCTTTAGGCAAGGACAGAGTGGACATCACTGAGAAGACTGTTAAGGAGTACCTGGCTGCCCAGAAACTTCTCCTGGCACAGGTAACAGACATTGCTCACCCCAGGGATTTTAATTTAAAAAAATCTCAGTCTTGTGATTCAAAATCTAAACATGCTTATGGCAATGCTATGATATAGAGGATTAGATCAGAACTCGTTATAATGGTGATTTTTAAACACATATTGTAGTAAATATTCCAACATTAGAACATTCTGTTTTTCACCTAAAATATTTTTTGTTGTCATTATTATTATTAGAATTATGATGATGATAGTCCTTCTTCTTCCTCTTATGATTATTGTGATGATGATAATGATGAAAGTTTGTTATTATTATTATTATTATTATTATTATTATTATTATTATTATTATTATTATTATATGGCTCCTTTTCAGATCCAAGCACTGGGAGAGAAGATAGAGCACTACTACCCAGCAGGAGGAGCCGCGTGGCACAGTGCGCCTCTCCCTCCAATGACCAATACCTTCCTCCCTCACATCCTGCTCCTGGCACAGATAAAGCTCAGGATTGGCCACGCCATGGCCAGAAATGCCGCAAGGAATGCTGGGTAAGAATTGTCCTGGCTGCAGATTTGAAGGAAGCTTTTTAGTTTATATAAAGCTTTTCCTTTAAAGTGTAGATTATAATGAAAGGTAATGGCATGTAAGATTATCATGGATTTATTGGTATTCAGTGGCATTTAGCTTTACATGTAAAACCCAGCTGCTGAAGCTTTAGTCAGTGCAGTGACAAATGCCATATGTTTCATGCATCACAATATGACATTTCGTATAGAATTGATTTTAGGCTGGTATCCAATTTTATGCCATGAGATAATGTTTAATGTCTTATTTCTTCCCTTTAACAGGTCAGAGGATATTGTTGAGAGGTGGACATCAGCCCTGGGTGTCTTGACCACAGCACTAGAGCTCTGCAAGGTGACTTCCCTGAGAGAGGCAAGTCTGGAGGCTGAGATCCTGCTCAATATGGGTAAGATGTGTTCAATATGGGTAAGATGTGCTCAGTATGGGTAAAATATGTTCAGTATGGGTAAGATGTGCTCAATATGGGTAAGATATATTCAGTATGGGTAAGATGTGCTCAATATTTGTAAAATGTGCTCAGTGTGGATAATTATAAGATATGCTCCATATGGGTGAGATGTGTACAATATGGGTAAGATATGTGTTCATTATTGGTAAGATGTATTATATATGGGTAAGATGTGATCAACATGGATAAGATGTTTTCAATATGATAAGCTGTGTTCAATATGGGTAAAGTTTTCATACCAGACATGAGGAAACTGCCTGCCTGACAGGTCATGACCACCTGAAATGCCAAAAGACTTGCAAAATTTTTGATATTGCAGGTCCTCTGGACTGGCAGCATTTATTATTTACATGCAATATATAAATAATAATGTATCACATGTAAACATAGGCTTATGGAAATAAAATACTTTGTTTGGACATGTACAGAATTGGGAGGACCTGCAGATTTCTTATATTCTAGGTCCTCCTGACCTTCAGTAGTATCTCCAAAGTTTTCCCCATTACATGACTGTATTACTTGAACAGACATCTTTGAGAACTTGCACAAACCAATTAACTATTAAGTTGCAAATATAAAGGACACAGTATTATCCTTTCAGTTGATTTCATTTTATTCGTTTTTGTGTTGTTTTTTTCTTTGTATCAGGTAAAGTGCAGCGTCAGCTGTTCAATCTAGGCAAGTACCAGGCCCGGGCAGTAGTGTCCACTCTTCTGGACGCCATACGGACTAGTTATGCTTTTGACCATGACTTGGGGTGAGGATAAAGCTATCATACTGAATTTGTTTATTTTCAAGAAATTCAATGAGTTAATTTTTGTCATTTGTTATTATGAGAAGCTATAAAAATGTCATAAAGATCTCAGAAACTGGAGACCTTAAGCTATTAAAGTTTGGTAGCTGTATAAAACAGCTCAAATACAGGTTTAGTATATTGTAATATTCCTATTGTTTTTTGGATACCAGGGTATATCTTGGCAATAAAGGAAAATTAACAATGTGAAGTTTAAAAGTTTAACAACCATTGGTCCCCTAAACTGCATCAGCTTTGGTGGAGAAGGTCTCTAAATTTATTGTACTACATATTTTATTTTAATATTTTATTTATTTTATTTGAGTTAATTTCATGTTATTTTGTTTATTTTATTTCATGTCTTTACATTTTGTTTTATTCTTTTTTCCAGCTTAATCCGTCAGGGTTACCTGGAGATCGCCCTGGTCTACCTGTCCTCCTCGGGGGTGGTCCCCCAGGGAGTGACCACTGAGGACACCCTGACTGTCCCCGAGGGGTCAGTGGTCGAATCGGCCGGGGAGAGCGGGGATGAAGTGAGCTCTGTGAAAACTGGTAGCAGTGGGAAGAAGTCCAAGAAGGGAGTCAAGGTAAGTAGATTTCTACTTGTCAGTGAGGAAGATTTGGTATAAAGAAGTGGGTTTGAAAGAAGAAAAGGAATATTATTTAATTTCTGAGGTATAACCCAGAGTAGACAGAAATTAGGGAGTATAGATATCAATGTAATACATACATGTATGTATGTATGTAATACATACATGTACCGGTACATATTATATAAATTTTATAATATAATATTATATATACATGTATATATAATTATCATTTTTTTCTGTTTTTTTTTTACTGGACATATCAAATTAAAACATAGACGATGCTGGTAAGTGAAGATTCACATATCAGATTATGTGAGCAGAACTTTTTCGGGTAGAAATAAATTTGCCAAGGTTCCTGTTCTTTTTCAGAGTAAGAAGGAGAAGACCAAGTTGAAGCCGGCCAAAGAACCCACTGAGGGTGAGAGGGACAAGGAACGGCGTGCTGCATGGGTAGCCATAAGGTGTGCGGCAGCTGCGGGACAGGCGCAGCGAGCACGCCTGTTATTGCCTGGTGATGTCAGCGTAACGTCACAACCTCTCTCCGCAAAGGCGCAGCAGGACATCCCAGATTTTGCTGTTCTTGATCTCATCAGCTCCTATGTGTTTGGGGAGAAGAAGAAAGTTTATAAAAGTAAGTTTACTTTATTTTTTCTGACAGCAATGGAGTTGAATGTTTTTGTTGGTGTTGGTTGGTTTGTTTTGAAAGTAGGCAAAATATTTTTTAAAATCTTCACAAATTTTTATGACATTTTTTTATCATAGAGAGTTATTCAGAGGGGAAAGATGTGTAAACAATTTCTGCAATCAAATGAATCAGGGTCTCTTGATATTTCTAAAATAATTTTTATTGCCTTTTAGCATAAGTAGATCTGTGTTCTTTGAATATTGTCAATATAGTTCCCCTTGAACTTTGCGTGATTGTAATATTATACTGTAGGTAATCTGGGTTGGAACGAGATTAAGTCAATAAAATATATTATGTGTATGTACTCTGCAGACTTTGTACTGCATGAACTTCTTTATTATCTGAATTTATTGGATGATGCCTACAGTGGCCTTTCAGAGTCAAAAGACAAATGTGATAAACAGCTCAAGAAGCCTGATACACGCCACCTTTACCAGTATCACATTACTGATTGATTACATGATTTCATGTCGAATTATTTTTTTAACCTGTCAAATAAGGTTCTGTCTTTTAATAGACGAAGTAATGCATCTTCTAGCATGACACTGGTGTCATGTTTGTCAAATTATTAGAGACGAATATGCTGAAAATGACTGTGTGTGCACATATGGGTTAATTTGGTGTCACTAGTACTTTCTAGGTGTATGACATTGTCACAGGCTGGGTCCCAATTTCTGTCAGAAGGAAATCCTTTGATTCGTTTAATGTGGATAATTTTCTCAAGTTTACCCTGCAGGAATTGAACCGTGGTTTGCATAATGAAAATTCATATTGGGTTTTATAGACTCTTTTAACAGGTTAAAATTCAACTGAAATGGTAGCTCTTAAACTTTATAATTACTAACAGGTACATTCTGGAGACTGACCTGTAAAGTACCCTATAATACTTGATATATATTTATATACGTGTTGAAATCAGTATGATGTAGTCTTCATAGATAGGGTTGACTTGTTTATCAATAAGGTATTAGATTTTAGATTGTCTATGCTATGGATATTTATACCTTTTTTTTATGTGTGTGAAATGTTATATGTTGCACTGCATGAAGTCCTATTTTACATTTGTTGTATTTGTAATTGGTTAATTATTTATTTTTTGAAAATTTTTAATTCATATATTCATTATTTAATTATTTCATTGTAGTTTTTCAGCTTCTTTGTGGAGTGAAATAAAAAAAAAAGTGAGAAAAACGTGTTAAAATGTTTCTTTTTTTTATTTTCACATATAGATGCTATAGAGGAGGAGATGGCTCCCTTGGTGGAGAGCCTTGAGGTGCAGCAGGTGGTGGAAACTTACCAAGATGAAATCAATAAAGCCAGGGAAGAAGCCAAGGGCATCAGCTGGACCCATCTCCTGGGTAAAATTCGAGCCACCTTTGATAATTATGTCATTTATTTACAATTATACATTTCACTGGCACCTACTCTCAATCTCCAACATGTATGCAGGTTGCCTTGGCATGGTGGCTTGATCCCTATCTGCACTACAAACTGTAGTAATAATTAAATGTAATTATCAGACAATTTTTTTCTCTTGGGGGTTACAAACAACTGTATAATTTTGATAAGAATTGATTCAGACAACCCTCTCAGTCATTTATTGAACTGAACAAATATTGATCTTGAATTTTGTAAAAGGCAAATGGTTTAGTTATGTACATATGTCAGTTTGAATTTGATATGGTAGTCATTTTGTTCGCTCATACAAAATATATATTCAGTTGTTTTTGTTTTGTTTTTTAGGCTACCAGGCTATCCTGCAGCGTATGTGCAGCACAGCCACAGTGATATCTGCATCTGCCAAGAAGGAAAACGAACACCAGAGGGAGCCACCAAACACTACAAGCGATCTTGGTTCTGAATTTGGCTTAGGATTCTTCAGCCATGCAGAATTTGACATCGCCTTAAATCACGACGTGGTGAGATCAACTGTCCTCAGCGGACCAATTGCTTTACGTCTAACCAGCATGCATCAGTTCTTCACTTCTGCCCTGCAAGTGTACTCAGCAGAATGTTGCGCCATCTATCCACCTGCTGCATTACAACTTGACCTGCCACCAGATGTCAGCCCTACAAATGTGGAAATTATCGCCAAGAATTACGCTGGGAATCTGGTGATCCCTATTGACCAGCAGCCAGACGGAACCCCCTTGGCACCCGTCACACCCCCAGGGACCCTGAGCCCTGTACACATCCATAAACCACCTGACAAGAGCATTGTCAGCACTTCAGATAATGAAATCAGTCTACAATGGTAGGTTTTAATTTTATTTATTTCTTTATTTATTTTTGTTTGTTCGTTTGTTATTTTATGCAGACTTAAGCATTTTCAAAACCTTTAAGTTGTGATAGCCATCGATCTGTCTGCATTTATTTTAATTTTTTTATGTCAATTAAACCACTACCATTTTGTTTTACTAATATATGGAACAATGTTACTGTAACGTTAATATTATAGCTTTATAATAATTTTTCTAATATAAATTTGTAGGTACCAGCCAGCCTTTGAGGAGCATGGTCATATGCCATTACGTCCCCAGACCAGTATGTCGACAGGGGCAGCAGACAGCCATATTGCTCTGCTGTACGCAGTTAATAAGAAGGCAGATAAAGTGACAGGTGCCCAGGGACTACAACCTGGACTGCTGTGGATAACACTGAAACAACTGATAGAGCTACATGATAGGTAATACAGAGTTTGTCTGCACACATGTATATATACAACACACAAATATATACACATGCAAACACACAGACACACATACACACACATACACACACACACACGCACACACACACACACACACACACATATATATATACACGGACAGCAACTGGGACAGCTCTCCAGAGACTGAAACAACTGATAGAGCTACATGATAGGGAATGCAGAGTTTGCCTGCACACACATGTATGCTTACAAGTGCATGCAAACACACTGACACACGTACTACACACACACACACACACATACACACACACACACACACAATCACACACACGTGGACTTTCACTCGGACTACTGTGGTAAACACTGAAACAACTGATAGAGCTGTATGTTAGGGAGGAAATAGAAAATGACACTTACACAATGCATTTTCTTACATGAAGCCAACTAACTGTATAAATTTTCACCGCTATTGAATCGACATTCTAAAATATTATTAACAAAACACTGGGGAAAATTCTCAAATCATGTTGTTCTAGTAAATTGAGTGATTCTTATTTTTTTTTCATTTCTCCAGACTGGCACTGCTGATGCAGAGAAGTGAGATATCTTTAGTGGAGAAGCCCAAAAAAGAGCCCCAGCCTCCATCCCCCACCCCCTCGGCCACAGGGAAGACCAAGAAAGTGGCCAGAATCAAGGCCCTGTCTCCCAAGGTGAAGAAGGACGAGCATCTGGAAGTAAGTATTTATGGTAATTACTCTATATTTTCAATGGGGGGAAAATTGTGAATTTTGCAGTGGTAGCTACAAAATTAAAAAGCAGGGTGTTCTTTGGCTCTTATTATTTCCTGAAAAAGCACTGCAAATGTTATATAGAAATATAATTTTTTTGATTATAAAATTATGTAACTAAAAGGTTAATAATTATTTACCCATTGTAAAGATCGAGCATTTGCCGTCTCTTCTACTTATTTGTCTAGTTACATGTATGAGACAAGTCGCCCACTGTATGCAGTATAGTATTACATGAGTGTGCTTAATTTTCAAGTCTGGCATTTTGAACACCAGGATAAGCATGCTTGAGTTAGAGATATATGCTTGTCTGTATTTTGTGCTTTGAAGCATGGAATGCATTGAAGCGTACTGAAATACAGGAAAGTGTGTACTTCTTGTAAGCAGAATACAAGCTAGTGCAATTATCATATTGTTTGAATAATCAGTGTTTGGATAACTACATATCGCAGGGTTATACCCACAGCAAGTGTCTCTCTTACTCAGACATCATACATGAATTATTAAAATAAAAATAATTTATTGCAAAGTAGTGAAATATAAACTATGTAAGGCATGGTTTTAGCCTACATGTAATTTACATTGGGAATAACCCACGGCATATTCTTTAGCAAAATGAAAAGTTTGCTGCAAATTTGCTGGAAACTAAAAGTTTGCAGCTACATATATGTAGGAGTTTGCAAAAAAATTGTATTGCTGCTTATTTGCAGCAAATTCAGCAAATTTGCAAGAACATGAAATTCCTCTGGCAAATTTAGAGTGAATTTGTGAGAAGATAGTGGCAGGCCTGATATTTGGGAAGGAGATAAGGTTGTGCAAATCTTTCTGCTGTGAAGTTTTATGAATATAATACAGAGGTGATGATTAGAATAAAGGTAGCAGTATGTAGAGATTATTTTATAACGTTGTTCTGTAATTTTGCCTGTTATTTCAGAATTTGTTAAAGCAGTGCTTGACCGATGTCCAGACATTATTTGGAGTGCTGCCAGAGCTGGAGACTGTCTCAGAGGTGGAGGTCAGTTTTAAGACTGTTGACTTTTTTTTTCTTTTTTAATTTTCCCTGGCAAACTTATACTCACTTGAGATGTTTCTACATGTATGTTCATCAGTCAGAGTTAAATGGAGTTTAATTTGTATGATACATTTCATCATAAGTAAGGCTTGCCCCCTCCCCCCTTTCCCCCTCATAGACTGATGAAGCTTTCTGGTGGACATTGAGATGTCTTGTATGAGTAAATGTATTTTTTTTTTTTTTATGAAAATGTAAAAAGTATGAAAATGATTGATCATTCATAACAGTTTACTGAACAAATGAACTTATTTCAATTTGTCCTTCAGCTTCTAAGTCTTTGCACACACTGAAAAAAATTAAATACAAAAGTTGGTCAAACCTTTTAAGCCAAAGTTTTAGTCTTATTTGACCCATGATAAGTCAGCAGGTTCATATTAAATGAAATACTGTTCCTCTGTTGTATCAAAAATGTAGTGCACATATATTGTTCTAGACCACAAATGTAGTGTTACTCCATTTCAAAAGACTACTGAACATTTCTCCTGATTTAAAATCAATCCAATTTTTGATTTATGAAAATTAAGAGCAACTATAGGCTGAAGTTCATTTGGGGTCAATACTTCTAAAAGATAATTCACATTTGCCTTAGCGTAAGGGTTTTTTTAATGTTTTGTTTTGAGTAAATGTTTCCCAAAGCGGTCTTTTAAGCCCCATGTTGCTGCCCTGACAGTGATGCATTTGCATCAATGTTGGTATCAGATTAACTGGTTAAATTGCCTGGAAAAGGTTATTGATTGGCCATTGCCTTGTGGGATAATAGGCTGTTCTGGGTCAGAATATGGCAAAAAAAAAAAATAATAATAATAAATAATAGTGGTTTTTAATAGGGGTTTTTAGTCAAAAATATTTCATGAAAGTGGGATATTATTATATTATTCTTGTGCCCAGTCAAATATAGGAGCTTTTATTCATTCATTTATTAACTTGTTTGTTTGTTTGTTTGTTTATTTTAAGTGACATGTCATTAATACCTATTTAACTCCAGAAAAAAAGAGATAAAATTGAAGAGAAGGTTAAGTCATCAGGATATTCTGTCACTACACTACATATTTTATACATGTACAGAGTAGAAAAATAATATTCAGAAAGTCTTGTGGCCTGATACAAACACATGTTTAGCAAAAGTCACAGCAAAGGTAGCAAATCAATTTTTGCTTGAGACTATATTACCATATGTATATAGAGAGAATTATGTACATGTTGCACATAAAAGTTCATTTGAAAATGATTCTTGGGAGCAGTGAAAGTTAATTGTTTTTGATGAGATGTTCTTTCAACTAAGCAAAGGCAAGTCAGGTGGAATTGTCATAACACCAGTTCATAACCTGAAGTTTGATAGCAGGTTTGAACCCAGGAGAGCCCAGTTGTGTTATTTTCTCTGTAAAAACAATACATGTCTTTAGAATCAAGTCAGATGGGATTTCTGGTTCACGACCCTCAGTATACATGTATAATAGCACTTCTGAGCTCAGCCGGTCCCAATGATGTTATATTATCCATGGAATGATACTTAGGTGGTTTTGCCATGATTGTGAAAATTGGAAAATGACACTTTAAGGATGATTGCTGTTATTGATAATGGATGGTTTCTGTTCACAGAGGTATGTCGTGGGTAGTAAAAATAGACCATAATGACTGAAGTTCAAATCCCAGAACTGAAAGGAAATCTCAAAACAATCTGTTTTCTTAAAAGTCCTGTGATACGAGTTATTGGAAAAAACTCATATGTTTGTTGGTACTGAAATGTTAAATGGACATGTACACTTACGGAGATATGATGCACTTTGCTTAGCTCGCGCACTTTGGAATGGAAAACATATTCCATTTACGTGAAGAGTTTGGTAAATGATCGTATTTCAGGTAATACCAATAAAAAAATCCAGTTAGTGGTAAATTATGGTTATAAGGTGACAAGTTATGTGTAGTCAAGCTTATTTGTCTAGAAATAAGCACACAAACAATACGTGGTGCCTCGATACATGTATGAAACCAGACGACTTTTGTGTTTTTAATCTCCAAATGCTAAAAAAGACACCAGAGAGCAAATTAAATAAAATCAACCAGACAGTAAACACTAGCAGGCTTTGTTAATTTCACCAACTTGTTTATTTCAAACAGCGCACTTTTCGCGCATGCGCAGTGGTTTGAATCCTGTGCTCTAGAAATAGCATTGGAGATCAGCTCATGTCTACCTCACATCCGACCGCTAATTGCACATTGGTAAAGTTGGATTCAGCGGAAAAAAAAATTCTTGGAAAATTGCAGAGCAAAAGAGAAGTTGTTGAATTACATAATTTTTCATGTCAGGCCACACAGTCTGCTGGGAAATACCATCTCCTGATTTTTTTATAATTTTACTTGTTATGTCACAAAACTGAAATACTTGGTGAAAGTTCTTTTTGAATATTTCAAAACTGATTTGAAAATTTTTGTTTGTTGGACTCTTGCTAGCATTTTATGGACATTATTGATTTTGCTATCATTTTTATTTATTAATTTTCTTAATAATTTGAATCCAAATTTTGGATATCAGGTTGCTAGAATTGATTTAATAAATTTTATTCACCATAGTTTTATTATTTCTCAGAGTGCTAACATTATACCTATATCTCTAAACAATTTTTTTTTTTTTTTTTTTTACCAGAGCCATCTGCAATCTGACTGTAACTGTGTGTGTATGCATGCATGTGTGTGTGTGTGTGTGTGTGTGTGTGTGTGTGTGTGTGTGTGCGAGATTGCATGTCTTTGACGTGATCAACAAAAGTAAACTTTTCACCATGCAGTTTGATCCTTAACTGTGTATGTGTGTGCATGCATTTGCTTGCATGTGTGTATATGTGTGTGTGTTCTACACCTGGATCTATATCTTAATCTATTTCTAAATCTGTTTTTTTCAGATTCCCTTTGAAGTCACCAAGGCCAACATGCACAGTTTTGAGAAGCTGTTTGATCCAAGCTTTGGCTTCACCATGAAGGGAGGGACCATGTTTAACTGGTTCAGCAAGTTGTTCACACAGTAAAGATATACAGTAATGGACAGTTTACATCAATGGGATGATATTACACAGAAACGGCCTGCCGTGTTAATGTTCCCATGATACGTGTATCACATGTGCACAGCGATGGAATCAAACCTAATTAACACTATACTGGACTTTGGTCTAAGTTAACATTGGCTGAATGGGCTGTCAGTTCACAAAGTATTGAAATTGGGCCCAAATTCACACATAAGCATCTGTTGACATACTGTATGTAGTAGTGGAATTGTGTCAAAGTTCACACTTACTGAATAGGCATCAGTTGACACAGTATTGGAATCAGATCAAAGCTCAACAGGTCAAAGTTCATACTTGCAGCAGTCATCAGGGTAATGGACTATAGGCCCAAAGCCCACAAGGCAGTGAAATGTCGAAGTTAGAATGTACAGTATGACAATGGAATCAAACCAAATTCACATGATTTTGAATGAAACCAAGAGTCTTCTATGTCATTCCCTTTAATCAACATTGTTTCTGTGATTAAATGGCCGCTTTGGAACCGCCATAACAAATTAAGTTGAAAAAGATTACCTGAAGACATTTTATTGAATGTGTTTCCCGTCTATATAATAATGCAATCTTTTGTTCCAGAAGAATAATAAGCGGAAAGTGTAACAATATTAAGTTTTAAAGCATTTTTCCACAATGCCAAGGATTTTGTTTCCATCCATCTTTTATGAGTTATGTGTTCATCTACATGGGGTATGGAAAGTTGTGCGGGGCCCATGAGAAAATCGTACTGGGCTTAGTTTTGCCTTCTCTATTTTGTCTCACAAATTTTACATATACCAGTAAACCCCACACACTCCATTCTCCCCATGTAAATGACGACATAACAAATAAAATTATCATTCATGAAAAATGAAGTTTAAAGAATTGTAGAAACAATGGTGATACCTTTGATACATGTACATGTAATATACACGTACATTGTATATTTGTTCTAAGAATATTTAGTATGGTATTTTAGTGTTGTCTTTTCAGAGTGTGCTTTATTGTTGGATGCCTTTTGCAAGTTTGTATTCTATATTACATTATTATATCAATTTCTTCTTTTCATTTCAAATGGCAGTTTGCTTATAGGTAAAATGTTTTATTCATCCTTGTTTTATGATTAAATCTAAAAAAATTTTCCTGTTTGTCTCCCTTACTCTCTGCGTCCTTAAATCAAGCTGAAAGGGGTCAAAACCCTGACTTAATTAATCATCTAATGTTCCACTCCCAACTGACAATTGGTTTTCCATTTCCCCACGTCCTGCGTCATTTCATTGTCCCTGGCTTGTAGTTTGTTACCAATGTTTTTTTTTTTTTTTTTTTTGTAAGNTAAAGATGTGACCCCCCCCCAAATAAAAAAAAACTAATAAATAAATAATAATAATAAATAATAATAATAATAATAATAATAATAATACACGTAAAACAGGTAATCGCAATTCAGGTGTGATTCAAATACATCAGTGCAGTACAGAGATGAGCTATTCATGATCATCTGGTGCTGTGCAAACAATCATTTTAGCTCGCCCTTAGTGTAAATCTTTTCCCCAATGACAGGCCGATCCATTCAGCTGCTCCAAGTCCGTTTAACAACGAGATAGCATTTAACAACAACACCATTAGTAAACGGCTCATATCTTCTCCATTGTTCGCATGTCTCCTTTTTCCTTTATGAAGACATTATAAAACGTACATGTAATTCCACTTAAAGATGTTTCAGGTTACAAAGAAAGAAACAATGAAGAGAAAAGGGCACTACGTCTGTCATTGTATCTGGTGCAGGTATTAGAAATGAAATGTGCAGACTATGAGGTTTATAAAAGCTTTACCCTAAAGAAAGAACATAAAAAAAGTAGCGTAAAAAGTGACTGTAGTGTACGTTATTAATGCATTTTTTTCTTTGAAAGTAGTGACATGCAACAGTTTACAAAAACGCGTGTCCATTCACCTTTTTCCGTCATTTTCAAAGTGATATAAATATAATTCCTAATAGAATAGGGAGCTGAAAAATCCAATAAAACACTTAAGGCAGTTTGTCGTTCTGCTTCGTTAAAAATCAGGTATATAGGTGGCAATGCTGATGTGCGTACATTCACATTTTTCCCCTATTATAAAAGAATTTGATGAAATGTGGTCTAAAATGTATTATGTAAAGGCCATTACAAAAAATAAAGTGAACATTTATCTCATTTCATTGACGCATACATTTTAATACATATTAATTTGCATAACCTTTATGTTAACTTAATTAGTGTCGACTTCTTTACATATTCGACGGCATTGAAGTATAAAAGAGCAAAAAATCATGGTGCAAGTCAAAATTATGCCAATATTACGCAAAATATGTGCGTCAATGACGTGCCTCAAATGCCCCCTTTTCTTTGAAATGACCCATACAATACTTTTAAGTGTCCTAGTGTGAGAGGAATTGTAGTCCGTGGTCCCATATGATTCGTTCAGGTAAAGGTTAGTCGGAGTATTAGGATTAGTTTATGGGACGAAAGTCACCATATAAATTAATGGAAAACGGACTACGGTTCCTAGCGGACTACCGTTCTTGTCACACCGGTCAAAAAGACATAATATATGGATATTGAAGTAAAGTATAAAGGTCATCGCGATAAATTTTGTGCAAATAGAATTTTAATTTTACGTATTAAAACTGTTTATTTCCATATGTAATAATCAATATATTAAATAACAACAATGGGTGTAATAATCNCCCTAAAGAAAGAACATAAAAAACATAGCGTAAAAAGTGACTGTAGTGTACGTTATTAATGCATTTTTTTTCTTTGAAAGTGGTGACATGCAACAGAGTTTACAAAAACGCGTGTCCATTCGCCTTTTCCCGTCATTTTCAAAGTGATATAAATATAATTCCTAATAGAATAGGGAGCTGAAAAATCCAATAAAACACCTAAGGCAGTTTGTCGTTCTGCTTCGTTAAAAATCAGGTATATAGGTGGCAATGCTGATGTGCGTACATTCACATTTTTCCCCTATTATAAAAGAATTTGATGTAAAGTGGTCTAAAATGTATTATGTAAGGGTCATTACAAAAAATAAAGTGAACATTTATCTCACTTCATTGACGCATACATTTTAATCATATTAATTTGCATAACCTTTGTATGTTAACTTAATTAGTGTCGACTTCTTTACATATTGGACGGCATTGAAGTATAAAAGAGCAAAAAATCATGGTGCAAGTCAAAATTATGCCAATATTACGCAAAATATGTGCGTCAATGACGTGCCTCAAATGCCCCCTTTTCTTTGAAATGACCCATACAATACTTTTAAGTGTCCTAGTGTGAGAGGAATTGTAGTCCGTGGTCCCATATGATTCGTTCAGGTAAAGGTTAGTCGGAGTATTGGGATTAGTTTATGGGACGAAAGTCACCATATAAATTAATGGAAAACGGACTACGGTTCCTAGCGGACTACCGTTCTTGTCACACCGGTCAAAAAGACATAATATATGGATATTGAAGTAAAGTATAAAGGTCATCGCGATAAATTTTGTGCAAATAGAATTTTAATTTTACGTATTAAAACTGTTTATTTCCATATGTAATAATCAATATATTAAATAACAACAATGGGTGTAATAATCAACAATTAATGGATTCCTTGGCCAATGCTGCTTGTCAATTACCAGGTAATATAATTTGCTATCCCCCCCACCCCCCCACCACCACCCTTAAATGTCAGAAATGATGAGGCAGGCGGTTTGTAGGCATCTTTTATTGTTCTTTTGCAACCTATTTGTAAAACAGTAAATAAGATATTCCACAGAGAGCGCTTGTTTCTTTCTTTTCTCTTCTTTTTTTCCCTTTGGGGGTGGCATAAGCAAATTGTCGAGATTTTCATTTCTTTAACATTTTTTACGATTAACGTTTATTTTTGGCTGACTCTATTAATCACCCAAAATACTTCTGATCTGAAATTAGAAAAAATACTCGTCAAATGCACCCGTTTATTATTACAGATAGTGTTAAGGCACAGCAAATATAAATAATAGTGTATCGTTATTCCCGGTGCACACTAAAATCTATAAGCTTAGCTACCGGTATTATTACTACATGATACCCAATAGTCGCAAAGTCGGTGGCTCGCTCGAAGCTTCTAGTGAGCGTTGGACTTTATCCCGTTTTTAAATGCATGTGATACAGCGGCAAAACAAGATTCGGGTATGCTATTTACAAACAACATGTTTTAATGTGAGTGTTAACGTCAAACCCCTATAATATAGACGGCCATATCAATGTGTAACTTGTAATAACCCCGCGCCTATGTGTGCGCGATATCTATATAAATATATTACAAACAATTTGTATATATACCAGTATAACCTTACTGTGTAATTTTGTGTAATTTTACAACGGCTTTACAAAAAGAAAATAAAACACAGTTAAAAATATCACTTGTTTGGCCTAAGCTCTATCATCCACCAATTAAGAGAAGACGTATAAAAATGAAAAAAAATACCATGCCCTTATGTGAGTATGTGTATGGGTGTGTGAGTGTATGCACGTTGTTGTGGGGTATTTTTGGATGCTTTTGTATCGTAGTAGATATTGAAATAAACTGCATCTGAATAAGGTTCAGATAGTATAAATATGGAACAGATCAGTTTCTGTGTCTCTCTCTATGAATATATAGGACTACTTGAGCGTACAGGCATGCATGTATGACAGTTTATCATACATGTAGATCACCCGGATCTGGAAGCGGCGTGGATCTCGTTCGCGTAGACCGCCTTCGTAGACTGGTACTCACGTGGCTGAAAAAACGTACAGTTTTATACCTGAACTTTCCCGCCAACCTCCCAAACGCACGTCTGAAATTCCTCCCCGTGATGCAGTAAAGAAAGAAGTTCACCGCAAAATTGATATAATACAAGAATTGAAAGACGTACTGTAGAACGTATTCCATTTGTGTGCCACTGTGTTGCCCGCCGTTGGCGTATAACATTATGAGGACGTAAATCCTTATCCCGTGGCTGGGGAGATTTAAGAACAGAAACACAGTTGAAACCACTAACAGCATTTTTGTAATCTTCATCTGTGACTCTTGCGACCGTCTTGTAGGGGATCCTATTACCGGATGAGGGTGTTTCACGTACCTGTTGTTGAACGTGAATTGCTCCACAATAATTCGTGCATCGGATTCCTTCCGTTTACTATAGAAATAAGCCACCTTTATAGCAATTCGAATATTCATGTATATGAGCACGACGCTTGGGATGACAAAAGTCAGTACGGTATCCGTGTAAATGAACCCCTTATTGAGCTCGGAATATCCGTCCAGGGGTTTGCAGACTCCGTCCTCAACCCCGTTTGTCCATAAAGTGAGCAAATAAAACACGGCGGCGAACCCCGCCAGAGATAGGACCACAATTTTGGCTCGCGCCACAGTGCACATTTCGGGTCGCTTTAAGGGGAACCGCACCGCAATGTACCGCTCCGTGGTGAACGCCACAACGTACCACACGGAGAGAAAACTGAATATGTATGTTAAATATATACTCGCCTGGCACCATCCCTGCGAGTAGAACAGGTTAATCTTAAGGTCCAATAACCACTGTGTCATAAGGAGCAGGATAAGAAAAGCCTCGTCCGAAATGGCGAGCGCGGCAAGATAGACACTGGACGAAAGTCGCTGAAGGTGGGTGCAGGTGAACACCAGGAATGACATGAGGTTTCCGATGAAACCCAGAATCACCACAGTCGGGGTGAAGTACAGTCTGAAATTGTGAAGGAAGTGAAGGAATGGATAGCGCGCTGTGTTGTACGCCATCTCTTCCATCGAGCCACCAACGGAACAGTTTCCATCATAATCATGGGTCGTTTCGGTCATCCAGGGTCCCTCTTGGGCAGTTGACACCATGGCGTGGTACCCCCTAGTTGACCCACAGTTTGGCGCCGTGTTGACCATGTGCGTCGTTAATTCTATTACTGTCCGGTTCAGGAGGTGCATGACTTCGGTTGTGTATATGCCGTCCACTGCAACCTTCTTAATGTGGTCACTTACCGCGTCTGGAACCGCCATTGGCGACACGATAAATCCGAGTGCAATTCCTATTTTTTTTTATCAGGATTTGATTAATTTGATTAATTGTTCCAAACACTGATCGCCGTACTCATTTCGATCGATTTTACGCTTGACCAGTTCCAAGGGCACCAAGTTCCACTTTGCAGCACTAAATGCTTAAATGTTCAAACCCAAAGCAGCACTGTATCTCCGCACATGCCTTGGTTATTCCACGGTACATCGATCTTTCGTGTTAAAGGCAACTGTCAGGTGGTTCAGCTTAATAAACCTTAAATGGCAAACGCAAGTGATATTCACAGCCGTCAATTGTCTAGGAAAAATGTTAATATCAGATCCAACAGGCATTAAACGCGGTCCTTGACCACGCTTTTCAGACGTTGCTTGGTGTATCTATAATGCGGTGCAAATCCTTCAGCGTGTTGAAACAGACACCGAAGAGACAACTGAACGCTCCGAGCGATTTCGATTTCTCATTTCTAAACGCGATCCTCTTCTGACACTGCGTTTAAATGCAGTAGTTCAATATACGCCTAGTTTAGCATCAGGTGGTCGCCTCACCTTTCTGCACTTAATAGTGCAATCAGTTCAACGCAGTGACTAGAATTCATATATTCCGGTGCCCTTGCTTATTGCCACCGTGTGATCTCTCCCTTTATTGAATCTTATACTGAATATACATCGGAAAAACAAAACTGCCCATCAATTTACCTCCTGTTGCTTTCGCTCTCGATTTCAATGCGTGTCACCGGGGACTCGCCGTTGACATGGATCCGCTATATTTAATACGGCTCAACGTTCATAGGCTTCGGCTCGAATTAATATGCCAATGTTATTGTCTAATGAAACGGAGTAGAAAGCTGTATGTTGAACTTATGACCGCCTATCGCATAACAGATTGTCAAAGACCTTGAACAAAACGCCATAAAAATTTGATGACATGCTATTTGATTGGTTGAATATTCCAAGCGTTGTTTTATCAGTTGTTGAACGGAGGTTTGAGAATCGAGTTGGTATTCGGTGAACGAAGCAGATCACGGCCTAACTCTGTTTTCAAATGCCACCAGCCCTGTTCCAACAGCTTCACACATATTTCTGTGAATGAATCCCGCTGGTGCTAGTGCGAGTAATGTCCAATCCAATTTTTCAAAGATCTCAGATATCATTTAAAATGAAATGGCCAGTTTCTCTGAAAGCAGATTCTGCCTGTCACGCCCCCCAAAAGATGTTTTATTCAAACAATAATAAGGTTAATTCCAAGAATTGTTTACTGTGTCCTTACAATTCAATGTTCGTCATTTAAGTATCCTGAAAATACTGGATACATTTCGCTCAAAGGATACATTTCGCTCAAAGGGGTCTATTTTAGATAACATGGGATGGTCAGGCAGTAGACAATGGGTCTACTTTGAAATGTTTGTATTTTTGCTGGTCGATGTTCCCTGCTTTTTCTCTAAGAATTAAAAGACTCGCAGGTTACGGAAACAGAACAGTTTTACGTCGTCGATATTTTGTGCAAGTATTTTGTTCTCCAGTGAATGGAATACGACGGCGATCCATATCGCAAGGCGGATATCTTTACAAAAATATTCTTTAAGTCAATTTCCTCAATTCCCCCCAAGTCTTTCCTGTTCAGTATTTAATGGAATTTCTTCACCCTACAGCAAAAGAGTAGAACGACTTTTTCTCGAAACAATTGCTTTCTTATTGCTGGGTTTTCTTTGAAGTGTCTTCAATCCCCCCACGTTCTAACCCTGTTGTTTATAACAGGTGCGTAACGCGTTAACTTCGATTACGTATGCCCCTGTTGAAATCTGGATAAACGCAGGTGTGCATATTATTATTTCCAGAATTGTTGCCTAAAATCCTCTCTCATTCGTTTTGTTTTCGGCGCATTGTTGATTCCAAGCGCGATGTGATTTTCGTTAATGATAAAAATGAATTACTAAGAAATGCCTTTCGATTCTTTTGCGGTATCTGATTACTTGCGTGTTGTGCCTATTATCTGTATATCCTTTCATATCGGAATGCGTGTTTGTCAGTGAATTTACATAACAACATCCACCCTGAACTTAAATAATTCCATGACTGAAATATTTCCACAAATGCATTTGAAATCAAGGCCATTGGATAATAGCATTTAGACTCAATGTTGTGGAGAAAATCGATCGTCGCAGAAGTTTTGTTCAGCAAAATGAAATAAGACAATACTTTGGAGGCTATTTCTTCTCCTCGTTATCACCGTCCTTGGCCTATTGAGCGACTTATGACCCAGAGTTGTGTAATTATAGTAAGCTCGTAGTACGGCGTAGTTATGAATGAAAGTTATGTAGCAAATCGCAAAGGGATTGTCTATTAGTAACATGGGTTTGTAATCCGTCCGCAATCATTCACTGAGCATTCTCCAGCGTATAGGTAATGTTGTTCCAGTCAAGGACAATTTCTATTGGAGGCTGGCAGACGACTGCAAAATAAAACAAATAAGTCTTATCGTCTGAAAAGAGGAGCCGGCGGCTGGCTTTCAGACGAGCTGTTGGGAATATATAAGGATACATGGCAATGCCATTTGCTTGTGTCTGGAAAAAGAAATGACAGAATTTTAAGAAATGAAATATTTAATAAAATGAGGTTTGCGAGGATCTCGTATAGTCTGTGCCATGCGTTTTACAGAAGACGGAACAGAAAGGGTTCGCCGTTTAGCCTATACACACCTTTAAAAATGTCCCGCGTTACTTTTTTTACTCTGACGGCAAAAAAGCAACAATGACTTATTTTTTATTTTTATTTTGTCTTGTTTAATCCAAAATATGTGCGGCAACGTATTGTTCGCCTGAAATATCATATCAAGCTTCTGAACCGTGGCGTACGAGCAATGCTACCTTTTTTACAAGAACAATTCATGCCTCAGTAAAAAAAGTAATTTTCACTTATCCAATGACATGTTTTTTCGATTGATAAGAAAAGGGTTTATCGTCCCTGTTTATCACTTACTCAACGTGGACACACCATATTAACACAGAAACGGATATTAGATTTTTATGATGACGGAAGCCGTAATGTTTTATCACGTGGCACCTTTCCACTGAATATAATCCACATCTCTCATTGGCTTGATTTAGCGAAGAAATGCTGTGATGGTTTATACGATAATATAAATGAACATATACGAACGCCGCTGTATGCACAAAAATACCGATACATCGGTTCATCTTTTTATTTTTCAGAAAGCCAATCATGTTGAAATACAATACTCATTAGGGATTTTGGTCTGCCTGAATTGATGGGAGAGAGATAAAAAAAAGGAAGATGAATAGTTCCAAAGCTCTCAGATGAGAGGAACCTGGAATAAAAAAGACCTTTTGTTTTTGAAAAATGAGAAGATAAGTTATTGTTGTTTATAGTTGTTCATATTTTTTGTCACCAGGGTAAAAAAATAGTAAGGAAATAATGAAGGCGCGAAAAGAAACAAACGCCTTCCAGCTTCACTACACCGCATGGAACAGATTTTAAAAGATCCTTGCAAACTTTGATTTTATCAAATATGTTTTTTAAACAGACGACACTTGCATGCAAAATCTCGTCTGAAAGGATGGGTGGATAAGAGATAAATAATGGATGAGTTCTATATTGGCAGAACCTGTCGCATCTTGTGTGACCTTGACCTTGTGCTGTTCAAACGAAACAAGCATGAATAAAACTTTCAAATGGCCTGTTTTCTCATCAGAAAAACAAATGGAAAAGCACAAATTCACACCAATCTAAAATTCCTCTGAAAATACCTTGAGATGGCATTACTAAAAATTAAGGAAAGAGACATGTCGTCTAAAATACTTTTTTTATCCACCAGATCTAAAAGCTTTACTAAAAAAGCCATGAAATTGCAGCTATCTTGCCTTTTTAGCTATGATGGTCATTTCAAAATGGCTGAAGCTATTAAAAATAAGTCTTACTGAAAAACACTGAAACAAAACCTCTTAAAGGTACATACGAACCGAGCACCGGTGGAGCGTGGATTCCCAGTAACACATGTAAACCACTTTTACTAGTTTCTTATACGACTCAAATGGGGGCGTCACGATAGTCCGAAGGTTCATTGGTCCGAAGGTTCATTGGTCCGAAAAGTGGTAACATTTTCATCGATTTTTTAATCAAGGGTTCATTGGTCCGAAGGTTCTATAGTGAACATTCGGACCAATGAACCTTCGGACTATTGAACCTTCGGACTATCGGTACGGCCCCACTCAAATATATTCGACATGCCAAGGGATAAACTGAATAGATCACTCGATCAGCCATAAATGAGCTTTTGACTGCTCCTTTCTTTAAATTTTTGGTCGGAAATTTAACCTAATTTCGTGACCTACTTTTCTGCCCCATTGACACACAGCATAGAAACTAGCAGAAAAATCCGTTCGAACATCATTTTTGGGTAAAATTAAACAATGTCTTTTGGTAATTCTCTTAGTTATACTACTTGAAACTGCATGCTGGCATTTGGTCGATTTTTGTGACAAAGACTGACTTTGTATGCATCTTAAATATTCTCCTTTTCCTGGATATTTGATACATAGAACGCTACAAACGTGTGGGATGGCGAATCCCTTTTCGTGTCATATTTCCCTCAAATCCAAGCCAAATTTACCTAACCTTTTCCATTCATTCAGAACACTATATCCAAGAGATATTATATTGCACACACGTTTTACACAGGTGAAAATGCCACTGATTATTTTTATCTGCCCAGAGCATGATATTTCCCAGAGCTTCTGAGTCGATTAAAACACATCTCGATCACTTGGTAATTGCATAGCTATCAGATAAACAATAACAAACCAGTAAAATTTATCCCCAGACCCATTTCATAATTTCATCTAAGACTACAGTGGCTGATAAGTGGCACCCTTAGTATAATGACAGAAGGAGGCTTTTTAAAGCTTACATTTGCTGCTTTAAGCTTGTTCCTGAGAGGAAAATATCGATTAACTAAAAAAAAATGGTGCACTGCCGGCCAGAGCTACCCTGAGTTTCAGATGGTGCAGTTTCAACCAACATACACCCTGGGTTTCGGAATATTAATGATGGTTTATGATAAATGATCTACCCTATACCCAGTGCGTGTGGTACCTGTACTTAACTTTGATTTCCAGGGAACAGAGGATCCTATATTATCCAGCAAACGAAGTTTGTTACCCTGAGATTTAAATACAGACGGTGTTTCTACTCTTTTAATCATACGATCTCTGTTACAGATGTTGGTTCCACCCTAACCAGGATAAGCTTCCCATGCCATCTACCAGGCCAAAAGTTAACAGATTGATTTTTCACGAGATATTCACAGATATGTCTCTAGTTAAATGCTGGGACTTTTCTGCAGCCGTGACAGAGACAAGTCCACAGAACAAAATCTGGGGCACTGGTAGAGGGTATATAAGCTCCCCATCTATCTGAGTTTGGGATTAGTAACGGCATAATACCCCCACTCCCCGTATATTTTAACTGGCTCACAAACATGTATAGTAGATGTACCATGGATGCGAATGATATCTATATAGGAATGCAATGATGGTACCAACCAACGGAAGCTACTTCCGTCCGCGGTGCGTGTCTATCTTGGCGCCCTCGCCCTTTCGGTAAGGTTACTCATTTATTATCATTTTTGAAACATTGGTTAAACCTGTTCAAGTCACAGAGATGGTGCAAGACAAGTATATAATTTATCTCACTTACAAACATTTTTTTCTTTCCGGGTGGTACCAATTAGTTGAGGTATAGCCTATATATTGCAGTGCGGTTCCCCTTAAAAGCCTGCGGCTTTCACTTTTAATCCTAAACTGAAGCACTTATCCAACTTCCTTATCATGTTAGGCTGAAGTAACTGTCTTACCTCATAAGCAAATAATTGTTAGACTTCTTTTTATATCGAGGCATTACCTCATACCATAGCTTCTAGATTTCAGTATTGCCTGCTCGATCTTGATTTCATATGTAACCCATATCAACAGTGTAAAGCTACCACATGAAAAGATATATAGTGAGCAAGCTAGCTGTATAGTGCCCTGACACTCAGGGCATACCTCATTGTTCTCGTCTTATCTAAATGACGGCTTCACAAATATTTATGGGCTCGTATGAAGCATTTATGGGCTGATATGAAGTTTTCGTGTATGTTACATATACTCCATGTAGTGTATATACACTCCTCTTTTTTCACCCTGAATTTCTCTCCATTAGTACCAGCATGTGCATGTCGTCTCCGTATTAAATGAGCAGCAAATATTTCTGGTAAAAAAGGAGAGTTTCCAGTGAGTTTTCAAACTCAGGGCGGATGTAAAAAGGGGGGAGAAAAACGAGGCCGGAAATGGCGGAGACCAATCGCAATACTGGAGTTTCCCTTGGGCGACTCGATCTTCGATCTTCGTTTTTTTCTTTCTTTTGTCTATCCACCCTTCCCATGTACATGTATAAAAACAAATGCTGCACTAGTTGACTGCTTACAAAATGATACTAACGCTCAATAACTTCATTGTTTTTTGAACAATTGAATTACCCTTAATCCTAATAATTTACGGTCAATGAAAACCTAACATAATTACAACGTACATGTAGTTGGTGATGATAAATATTTTACAACATATGCCTAATGTGTGCTCGACGTACCTCAAAACTGCTTTAGGAATCAACGTCGGAACCGGTGTCGCAGATTTGACTGCTAATGTCTGGTAGGCGCTAGCCCACGTCACCTGTTATCGTACTGGCAGTGCGACATGAAAACACACGACGTTTCGTGTCGCATTTTTGGCGCCATTCAACCAGTATAGGATTTTGCGCGCATGCATTATTCAACTGCAGTATACAATGAAATGGAAATTTTTATGCATCTAGTTACTTGAATGATTGAATACCGGTAGAATAAGGCAGTGTTACGTTCGTGTGTGTGGGTGAGTGTGCGTGCGTGTATGTGCGTGGAGAGAGAGAGAGAGAGAGAGAGAGAAAGATGGTTAAAGCGATTTCACAAACAGAACTTTACGCACTTTGCACACGGTAACTTCCTAAAGGGGTGTCTGACATTTGTTAGGTCGAGAAGTTTTTTGTTTGATTTTACAGCAGAGACCCCTATCGGAGGGTATACTTTACAGGTAAGCCTGTGATGGGAGTAAATCTAAATGCATGAAATACAGAGAATTGGTACATGAAGCAATCGAATGCAGGTTCCCATATCATTTCATGACTGCAGTGAGCTGAATTGAAGAGGAAGTGCAGGGTGATTGCTTTACTGATGAAAAATCGATGTTTTGATCAGTTTAAAGGAATATTGTGTGTACGGAGACATTAAGTAATTAGCACGCACACAAGACCTTTACACGACAAACTAACAAATAAACAAATTACTTAATAGACAAATAAATAAACAAAAAGAATGACAATAAAATATTAATCACATTTTGCGTAGAAGAGCAAACATCA